TTGAAGTATTGGTAGCTGCCAAAATAAGCCAGTGAAATCGGTACGAATGTCGCTGGTGGAAATCAAAAGAAAATTCGTACATTAAAAATACCTCTTGATAGTACATATATGCAGAATTTTAATAAAGTATTTAAAGTGATATTACAGATCGTAACAGAAAAAAATGATTTTTAAAAAGCTTACTACCCTGTTTCTCAAAAGTCAAGACGTTTAGGACATACCATTATATGAAGTTTTCTTCTTAAGATGGAACCAAAAGTCGTCCTCTTAAATATTGACATTCAATTGGAAAACAACTTATATATTTTATGTAAGTAAATTTGATTTTATTAAAAAGGTTATTGTAAAACACTATTGTAGTTTTTCATTTTGGATATGTTTTTTTTGACTATATATTTGTTCATATTTCCTGTTATTATTTGTACCTTTTAGATATAAAGACTTCACTTGATTACTGATACTTAGGTATTTTGACATACGATCTATGAATTTCTTAACAATGTCATGTATCATATTTTCCAGCTGGTACTTGCAGAATATAAATAAAAGAATACTTGGTAAAATAAATATTTTTTATTCTACATTGTATACCCACAATACAATAGGTTCGTTCAAAAATATCTAGAAATATAGGTTTCATCAATTTTTTATTCTTGACGTTAACTAGATTATATGCTATTTTCTAAATTACAAGCTATGTAAACAGGGCTAAAAGGATATCTAAACAACTGCAAAGAAATCTTTCTAGTTTGGGGGTACATTAGATCATTTTGGAAAGTTAATTAATTCTAGGTATCAAACTTCTTGAAATATCCAATTTAAATACACTGACTCTTCTTTTTTTTCCCTCTAATAACGTTCCTTACACTCGAGTTATCGTCTTGGAACAATATCTTGTACCCTGGGCTTATCAGGATTCTATGTTCTTTGAGCAATGCAAGTTGATCTGAAAAAAATAGTGCTATAAGTAATGGTGATTTCTTATGTTTTTACTCCTAAGTACCGATATAACCATAAGTGTTAAAATATGTATTTCATATAGCATTTTTGCTAGATCACTGAATTCTTATTTAACCTATGGCATCAGCTTTGTGAGATTTTGTCAAATAGAAATGTTGATTACAATATTCAAATAGCTACTTTATCGAGTTTCATGTCATTTTATGCAACATGCAACATGCAACATTAAACAGAAGACATTTGAGAACCCCCCTCCCAGGCATAACAAAGCTCCTCTTGAACTCAATAGCTTTTAACTTTTATGAATATACAGGCTTATGCCTACCTTCAATTTACAAATTGCAGCGTAATACATGTCAGTCAGAAAAAGCAAATTCACTTATTCCAGTAAGGTTGGCTCCTTCAAACATGCTTTCAAGTGCTTGGATGCATGAATCCATTCTTACGATGATCATTTGCCTCTTTATCCTTCCAAAATAGATATGGAGTTTTGTATGCAATATCACGATGGTTTATATCTGCAAAAAAGATGCATAGATTCGAGAAACATTTAACATTTTACACCTTGGGGTGGGCTACAATTTTATAATGATATTTTTTAGAGTTATAGCCTGAAATTTTTAGGTTAAGGTTCCCACTAATATAAAAAAAATACCAGATAGGGCAGGGCATGTTTAAACTCAATTTCAGAGTATTTACACATTATACATACTTGTAGCCTGACACCATGCAATCCATAGTCTAACAATGATTTGTGAACAGCCATATCCGCCATCAACAATGCAGTTGCACTTCGGATACACTGTTTCTTATCCAACATCTCATAAAGTCTGTGAGAACGAACCAGCTTCATCAAGGAACAGCTTTATTGTAAGCTGTTAGGCAAATATATATAAATACGCATCCATTTGCATTAAATTGTTGATTTTAGATCATTAATACCAGATATGGGACTTGAAGATACCACAGCCTGACGCATTTGTTCAATGTAGGTAATTATTATTGAATAATCAACATTATTTGCAAGAAAATATCCTTCGGCATTTGATTCATCTGTCAAAAATTTCCTTAAAAAAGAAACATAACCTAACATCACAATTGACTTCTGATTGACAGGAGACTAGAAATTTAAAGCAGGACATACATGTACCTTAAACGAAGAAGGCGTAATATTATCGAAATCAAGGCCATAAACGCGCCCTACAATTGTAGGGACGACTGACGATACGGGCCTTAATCTTTTATTGAAACTTAGACATTATGTCTGAAAAATAATATCAGACAAATGTCCGCCTCTAGAAGCCGTGCAAACCTGAGCCCTCTTGATTACATTTTCCATCAATTTTTGGTAGGTTTCGTGAGGAATATTTTCAATCGCTTCCGTAATATTGTTCTTCAGCTCCTCTACAGTATTTGGTTTGTTGGCATAAACCCTTATTAACAAATCCGTTCATATCGAAGTGGGCTTCATCGCTCATTATCAGTTGTCGGTGAAAATCGTTATTTTGGGTATTAAGCTGCAATATTGCATTACTGAGTTGTCGGCGACTTTTATGGTCACTGGTTTGTAGTTCTTTGGGTTAACTGAATTTTGTATCGCCTCAATTAGAATAGTGCATAATCGCGTGCGACGAATACCCAGTTCTTGAGGACGATGTCTGGTAGACGTCTCAGGGCGCTCCACTACACTTTCACGAACTCTGTCGGGAGTACGAACAGTTCGAATATGGCCCGACCTTGGCCAACTAGGTCTCCAACTTTACCTGTTTGTTCAAATTTCCGCAACAACTGACGAATGGTGTTGATACTAGACACATTATTTCGATCGAAATCTTGTAGCTTTCGAACCGTTGCAACAATCGACTCATTATTTAAGTAAAACGTTTTAACAATACGGACGCGTTGTAGGATCGTGTAGCGCTCCATGATGATTTGGACACATGTGCTTTAAACAACTACTACGGTGCCGCCTAATGAAATGCGTATATCAAAAATGGCGCGCAATTTAAATCAGTCAGTTATATATTGGCCACCCTGCCATGTATAGCTAGCTTCATCACCATCTAGGAGACAGTAACCTTTTCAAAGTAGATCTATGATTATTATCGCTTTGAAAATGGTAGTGTCTCTAGGAGGTGCTGCAGCCAGCTATATATTATAATATAGCATCAGCGCCATCTAGGAGACATTAACGCTTCAATGTAGATTTATGATTACCGCAGAGGAGATCCTCCCGGATAATTTTTCGGACGCGGGAATATGACATCAGGTAAGCTATCTTCAGGTAGAATACGTTAACCAATGGTACCAGTGTACATATTGTCACATGTTCAATTGTGTAGGAAAAAAAGACAGAAACGCCAGTTTACTAATGTGGCGTTAGTATGTTTCTGTTTTTGAGGTTTATGTACATCTGATAGTTTTCATACAAAATTATATCTACATCTAAAATATTCTAGGTGTTGTCTTTCTACAGGGTGGGGCAAAAGTCACGAAGGGATTTGAAAAATTAATAACTTTTTTAAATTTATTTTGTTTTCATTTTTTTTTTCAGGACCGTGTAAAATAAATCCTGGAGATTAATTATGGAGCGTTACAACCTCAATCAACGAACCAAACTTATAGAATTTTATTTTGAATATCACCATTCAATAATTCAAACTCAACGAGCATATCGTCGTCATTTCAATTTGCGGAATTCGCCCTCTGAATCAATGATTCGACGCTTAGTGGCACGATTTCAGCAACAAGGCACAGTTATGGATCTCCCACGAAGCGGAAGGCCACGTTCCGCAAGAAATGAAGGGAACATTCAACGCGTTCAGGAGAGTGTTCAGGAGAATCCGGAAACCTCAACCCGAAGACGTTCTGCTGAGCTGCAGATGTCTCAAAGGTCTTTACGCAGAATATTAAGAGGAAATTTACATCTGTTTCCATATAAAGTGCAGCTAGTGCAAGAACTAAAACCAGCAGATTTTCAAGAACGACTAACTTATGCAGTTCGCTTGCAAAGAATGGCTCGAGAAGATAATGAATTTATTCATTCTCTGATCATGAGCGATGAAGCCCATTTTCATTTGAATGGCTTCGTAAATAAGCAGAACTGCAGAATATGGGGTACCGAGAACCCAAGGGTGGTTCATCAAAGGCAATTACATCCGCTTAAATGTACAGTATGGTGCGCAGTTACGTCTCAACGAATTATTGGACCATTCTTCTTCGAAGACCACGATGGGAATGCTGTATCTGTAGATGGCGACCGATATCGTGATATGATTCAAAATTTCTTAAGACCAGCTCTTGCTGACAATCAAACGATGACTTTCCAACAAGATGGAGCCACTGCGCATACTGCTCGAGCCACTATGCACCTTCTAAGGCAGATTTTTGGCGAACGTTTAATTTCGAGAAATTCAGGATTCAATTGGCCCGCCCGCTCGCCGGACTTAACAGCCCCTGATTATTTCCTTTGGGGATATCTGAAAGGAAAAGTGTATATTAATAAACCCACAACCCTGCAGCAACTAAAAGATAATATTCGAGCAGAAGTAAGTGCTTTGGGGCCAGATATTCTGACTCGGGTAATGGAAAATGCTCTTGCAAGAGCTGCACTTTGCGAGGCTGAAAATGGCGGTCATTTGCGTGATGTAATCTTTCACACTTAAATTGTAAACAAACTCCAAACATTGCATTTTAGTTTTGTGTTAGGGAAAAAAATTAAAATTAAAATTTAAAAAAGTTATTAATTTTTCAAATCCCTTCGCGACTTTTGCCCCACCCTGTAGTATACCTGTAATATATGTTATTCTAAAACGTTGCTCCAATTTGAATGAGTTCGAATTCCAATGCATATTAATTATCAATTATCATCCAATTATCATCGCGTTTTGTCTAATATTATTGCAACAAAAGCGTGGTTACAAGAAACAGATATAATCCATATTTTGGATTAACATTCGGCTTCGGCCGAAGGTTGTCTTAAAAGCCGAACAGCGGCACCATATCTCGGACCGCCAATTTACCCAAGAAATTTTCTCTAGGGCTGCGCGTGCCCACGTCGAACTTCACAATAAATGACGTCCGCATGTGCGTCGGCTCGCGTCGCATCCTCGACGTGATGGACGTAAACACGCAAAAGAACAGCGAGATGACCATGAAAGAGTGGCAGAAGTACTACGAGGACCCCGACAAAGATAAACTGCTCAACGTCATCTCCTTGGAGTTCTCACATACCAAGCTAGAAAATTACGTACAAAGTCCGACAGTTGTCAGGTGAGTCTTCCTAATGTTTTGCCTGTTAGGAATTATTTTATATTTGTTGTTTTGGTTTATATTAATAATCAATTAAAAAATAGTTCTGAAAACTTATCCAGTTTGCTTCTTTTCAAATGTATCGGGTGTTACGTCAAGCTTATACCTTTTCAAATTTCATACAATAATAATATTAAAAAGTGTAATACTGGCAGTACACTTTTGTACGAGATAGTATGTTAACAATGTCTGTATATCCGTCAAAAACCTCATGCATGGCTTCCACCTATTTTTTTTAAAGTTTTGGATATTGGAGACCTCAACACTCAGAAAAAAGTATTCATGGACTCAAAGTTTTTTTATGATTAGTTTTCCGGATACATGGCCTCCGAGTTCTGCAGTCCTAACCTACCCTATTAGAGGATATTGCGGGGATATTCCTACCGAACCCACAATACGCTCTAATAGGGAATGCGCAATAGAAGCCATTTGTATCGAAAACTACTCGTGGAAAAAGTTTGGGATCATGGACACTTTTGTCATACGCGTTAAGGTCTACAATCTACAACACACTATTTTTTTTTAAATTAGCCGACAGCCATTGTCGATCAGGTTCCTGTGGGGTCCTTTAATGAAATTTGGAAAGCGAAAAGCTGTGAAGGTATCAGTGTAAGAGATGTGCGTTACATTACATTATTTAAAGTACTTTCTTTTTTATAGTTTTCTTTGCAAACCTGCATTGGAACACATCCTGCGCACGTGCTTGTAATCAACTAATATGTCTAATGCTGTCTGGTAAAATGATTATTGCATTGTAGCGCTTAAAAAATGGTGAAAGTAAATATTGAATATACTTATTTGTAGAAGCATGCTTGCTTAAATGCATTCACCAGGTTTTAAAGTTATAGGATGTGTAGCTGTGTAGTTTGCCATTAATCCTATAGTCCAGTCAATAGACCATTTTTGATTGGTTTATGATTACTGTTTACAAACCATGATATTTGGTTGGTTTGGTACTCGGGTGGTTCGTATCCCTTAACACAAATATTTGAACTGTATACCTAATATTTTCAAGGTGTTAGGCATTTTCACAATTTACTATTTTCAAACAATCTACAAAAATTTCAAAATTCTAAAAATTTTTGACAGGTTCAAGATTTTCGAAATTTTTATAGTTAGTAAAATTTTCTAAATTCTTTAAACTTTAAAAGCTGAGAATTTTGAAAACGTGCGGTGAGAACTATTACCACCTACTGTGAAATGAAAATGTTAAATCTCCATTAGCGACACTCAGCGGTTTAAAATCTGACGGTCGATCAACCCTCAATCAGAACTCAACCCTCAAGGGCCGACTATAAATATGAGCCTTAAATACTTATCGAAAACACTATTTATCCGTTGTTTTTTTTTTCATGTAAAGGCAAGTCGACTGGGTGGATTGTGTATGGCCACGTCACCTGAAAGAAAGCCAAATTGAAGCCACAAACGTACTCGAAGAGATGAAGTATCCTAAGGTACAGAAGTACTGTTTGATGTCCGTTAAGGGCTGCTACACAGATTTCCACGTCGATTTCGGAGGGACGTCCGTATGGTATCACATTATCAAAGGGTGCAAGGTAAGCTTGCTTATGATGTGTTGGATTTGTTACTTGTAAAATTAATCAGTACTGATATATCAAATCATTGAATCAACAATTTTCCGTATATTCCGCTTACAGAAAGTTTTGCTGCACCTTTTCTACTCTAGTTTAATTCGCCATAAAGCAATGTTCACTGTAGAAATTGTCAAGACGAAGATAATGTAAAAAAATATTATTTTTTTGTGCCTTTTTTTAATGTGGCGACTTGGATGGAAAATGCACAAGGAAGTAAACATAAAATCGGCAACAGTACGGTGCGTAGAAATGTATAACGATATAAAGCTTCCCCATCATTTTCCAGACAATATCACTGAATTATACTCTATTCTATAATCATAGCAGAGATACCTTATTTATTATTAACTGATTGCAACTAAAACTAAACTCATATTGGGCTAAAGTTCATGCGCATTTTGCTTTTTGAAATTTTACACGATCTATTTCAAAAGGTAACTTTTGACTTACACCAATTCCGCAATGATTTTTGTGTGCAGGTATTCTGGTTGATTCCTCCGACAGAACACAACTTGGAGCTGTACGAGCGTTGGGTATTATCTGGCAAACAGTCAGACATTTTCTTCGGAGACACAGTAGACAAGTGTGCCAGAATAGTTTTGTACGAGGGAAACACATTCTTCATCCCTACTGGATGGATCCACGCTGTCTTCACGCCCAAAGACACCTTGGTCTTCGGTGGGAACTTCCTGCACTCTTATGGGATTGATAAGCAACTCAAGATCGCTCAAGTTGAAGATACCACCAAAGTGAGTATAATGGATAATAGTAACTTGTTTGTATGGGCAAAATAATCTAATAACAAGTTTATTCACCAATCGTATAGAACAACTAAATATTGATTCTTCTGCCGACAAAAGTTTCCGGACACATGTTGACGGATAATTCATACATTATGTTAGTTACAAAACATAACTAATCCTCGTCAGTCCAATATTCATAAATTAAACTTGAGAAATCACAGTTTAATACAAAAAAAAACAGTTTATAGTTTATAATATTGCCTACATGAATAAATAATAGCACTAAAAATTATTAACAAATACTTACCTACACTAAACATAAACGTGAAATATGTGTTTAAGAAGTAAATTTTAATACTACAGTAAAACTAATTTAGTGGCTCTTTCGGTTCTCAAGCAATTTCGAAGTTTGGAATGTACCAAACCAAATGTCGAAAACACTCTTTCAACAGATACTGAAGAAACTGTATCACATAGCAGTTGTTTAATGGTGGGCAGTACTTTTTGAACAGCAACGACATTCTGTTGGGATTTACACTATTTAAAAGCTTTTGAAGTTTTGAGAATTAGGGAATTAGGTGTTGTGGTTTTGTCAAATCAAGAAGATATGCTAACAGATGATATGGAGTGACGCATTGTTCATATCGGTGTCTAAATTTTTGTATTTGACTTGAAGTAAAATATCCTCAAACGCCGATTCGAGATTTTTGAATTCTAGTACCATATCAGAGATAGTTGCATCATTCTTTGAAGCATATCAATAGCGATATTGCCATATTTAAGGAAAACAATCAATACAGATTGATAAAAATAAAAAAATACGGTATAATCGAAACAATCATATTATCACAAATTCTTCAAGTACAGACGTTTTAAGCTGCCACCGCGTCTTTTTCACGACGTTTCAGACCACTTTTTTGAGATGGACATTGCTTAATGACTTCCCTATTACGAGGGATGTCTTTTATTTTGCACATGGAAATAAAACAACACGGTAGGTAGTTTTAAATGACTTTATTGTTTTTCGAATTATTCTCCACGAAGATTAATACACATCTGCATGCGCTCGAACCAATTTTCGAAGCACTTATTCCACTCGTTTGCTGGTAGATCCAAAACGGCATTTTTGAATGCGTCAACCGCTTCTTCTGGTGACTGGAACCTTTGACCACGCAGTCTGTTTTTAATTTCGGGAAAGTAAAGAAATCGTTACGACTTAGATCGGGACTATGTGGAGGATGGTCTAATAATTCCACTTGTCTTCCGTTAAATACTGCCTTGTTTTTTGGGCTCTGTGCGAGCTTGCATTGTCTTGGTGGAGGATGATTCTTCTTTCGGGGTTGATTTAACGAAGCTCGGTGATGACTTTTGGCAAACAAATGGTGGTATACCAATCCGCAGTAACAGTTCTTTGCTCATTAAGAGGAATTGTTGCAATATGACCCCCTTTTGACACAAATGTCGCGACCATCTTTTTCGAAACACTTCGAGAACGGATGACTTTTGTTGGCTTTTCTTCACCTTGGAACACCCAAACAGGCGACTGTCGTTTATTTTCTGGTTCATAACATTAAATCCACGATTCATCACCACTAACAATGCTGAACACATTTTTTGAGTTTCCGGAATTGAAACGGTCAAGCGTTTTTTGACACCAATTAACACTGGCTGCTTTCTGCTCTTCAGTCAACAGGTGGGGTATCCAACGAGAAACTAATTTTCTTACTCCTAATTCTACATGTAAAATTTTTTGAATTGAAGTCTTTGAGATATTCAAGGACGCCTCAATCTCGCGATATGTCACATGTCTATCTTCAATGATGAGTTTGCGCACAGCATCGACGTTTTCCTGGGTGACTGCCAGACAGTAACTCAGCAAGGCATTCTTGTTGCGATAATTGTCTCTGAAAGTTGTGATAAATTATGGAGCGAAAATCTTCTCGGTTGAGTTCCATTTTTCTAATGACACTTAAAAATTCACTGTAGTGAGAACACTGCACGTATTGTTGTGAAACTTTGAATTTAAGTTTACTAAAGAGTGAGGTTAAGATTCAGTACTGACGTTCGATCCGCGCGGCCTACTGTGTTTCTATATGCAAAACTTAAAAGACATCCCTCGTAAGTTCACTCCAAAGAAACTTAATCGGATTGAGATTGCAGACTGATAAGAGAAACCCCCTGGTATGCAATTATCGTCAAATTATTCTCTCTATATTTCCGATCATTGTTTCCGATGCATAACGAGGGAGATTGAGGTGTCCTATTTCCTTATGACCATTGGGAAAGCGAATCTAAATTTCATGGGTGGAATGCAGTTGGAGATTTGCTGTTTTGTGAACGGCCCATTCATATGATTCTCTTCAGTTACCGAAAATGTCCAATTTAGATTCGTCCACCTAGTATCGTCAGTCGTTCCTACAATTATTGTAGGACGACTTTATGGCCTCCTTGATTTTCGTAGTTTTCTACTATTGCGTGTCAGCGCCTTATTTTGAGGTTATGTTACAAATATCTATTTGCATCAAATTGTTCATACTTTTTGACAATAGAAGAGTACTGACGCTGTCACGGAACAGTAGAAATCTAGAAATATCGAAGCCTTTCTGAAGCAGAGGAAATACTATGAAAATCAGGGAGACCATAAAGGCGTCCTTCAATTAATGTAGGAACGACTGACGATATGGCCCTAGAACACGTTTTTGGTGTCATTTTTTTATTTTGGTTCAATAAAGTCAAGAGACAAACATCTGTTGTCGACAGTGCCGACGCAAACGTTGGTCTCGTGCGTAGAATCAAAATTTGGTTGTTGTCTTTTAGGAAGTATTAACTCAAACTCGAGAGGTTCGGTAAGCGACCATACAGGGTGATTCACAAGTCGTGTTCAAAAATGAAACATCATACACAGGACCGCATTTTAAGGGGGGTCTTCTATGTAACATTTTTTCTTCGAGAGCTTCATTAAAAAGATACGGGTGTTAAAGTTTAAAAATAAAAAACACTTTTTCTTAATATCTTCAAAACCGTCAACTGGAATGTAGTAAAATGTGGTAAGTGGATTTACCTAAGTATTGTCCACATTCAAAAGTCTTTACTTAAAATTAACGTGCACCAGTGGCGAAGACCCAGGGGATTAGTGGCACTACTTTTCCAAATAAAAATAGTACGTCACTGTATTTTTTTGAAATGCGCAATTTTCGAATTTCATCTTCGATTTGCTACAAATAATTACTCTTGCGATCAACAGTATTAATTTCTTCAGCATACACTAGTTGTTTAAAAGTGCCCCACAAAAAGAAATCCATCGTTGTCTGAAATTATTATTTAACACATCTTACACATTTTCTATGTAATTCTCTAGTAAAGCTAAGTACGAGTTTGCATTTAAACGTTGTGGCAATACGTGCATAAACAGTTGGCCATTGAAAATGCCGCACCAGACATTTCTAGGAAATCTGTGAAAGAAACGAGTGAATTCTTACAGAACGGGGCTTTTCTAACGACCTAATATGTTCATTATGAGAATTAAAGGTTCCATTCCGCGTAAAATGCGATCCATCTGCACATTTTGCGGATGGTAAGCATGTAAAACTTACCGTTTTAAAATTTTCCACACCTTGGGAACATGGCAACTGGGCTGCAATCCGCCTAGTGCGTGTACAAGGGTCATCCAATGCCAAATTAATCACTTCCAGTTCCTCTTGAACAGTATGCAGGACAACATGGCCTCTAACTCCGGGAAGTTTGACAATCCCATATCGCCGAAGTCTTAGAAATGAACGCGTAAAAACCTTTGGCGAAACTTGGTGTCTGTTAGGAAATCTACGTTGATACTCCCGAGAAGCCATTTCCATTACAGAACCCGTACACAAAAATGGGAAAAAGAAACTTTTGACTTGACTTTTACAAAAAAAAAAACTGGTAGTAGTAACGATAACAACCGTATAACACGATGGAAAGACAAAATATTTTGCAAATTATATGCAGAAACCGAAAATGGTAAAAAAACTGAACACTTTATATGTACAAGATTACAATAGTATACAACTTTGATTCAGACCTTGGTTCACAGTACAGTTCTCCGATGTCAGTCCGACTAAATTTTTTTGAGACGAACTCTTTGATGAATCATTAAATGGCTCTTTTGAATGTTAGTGTACCTCCTCTGACCTCTCCATCAGACTGCTGCTTTTGAGCCTGCTAGATGGGCCCGCTAGGCTCTTGCTTTCCATTCCAACTTTTAGCCTGTTTAAAACGAACCTTGGTACACCAGTATTCATGCTTTAAGACTTTTGTTGAGAAATATTGACTTGTTCCTTTACAAAAAAGTACTATTATCTAGTTTCAACTTATAGGCTTCAACAAGTTATTTGATTTCAATATATCTCTTTTTCACCCAGTCACCAATAGTGATTACTGTTTTAGGTCCCCCAAAAATTTCGCTACCCATTTTTCACCGAAATGCTATGGTATGTCTTGGAAAAATATGTGCATACCCTCCTTGGAAATTCACATTTAACGACAGGCCAAGACACACCTATACCTCCAGATAGATCTCATGTTCATCTCACTCAAGCAGAACTTCATGGACTTAAGGTATATGTTTCTCTTCTTTTTAAATAGCACTTCACCGTTCTTCTTTTATAAGTCTAATATATTGATTAGGTAGTTGAATCATTTATTATTGCATTAGTGTAGCACTATAATTTGTAGTATTCCAAGTGCCACTTAAAAAAATTAGCTGCATTAATTCTCAGCATTTTTACTTTTGTACTTAGCAGTGTGGTAAAATAATGATTTTGAAACATTAGTAAGCCGCGATAAGAACTAAGACATTTTATATATTTTTTTATTTTGTGAAGTTCGACTATTGTTTCTGAAGTAATTATCTTTTGTATTTAGGAGATCGTAATGTACTTGCACATGTTACCTCCAAACAAAAAGAATGTTCCGGAGCTCATCAAAGACCCAGTGTCCCTGATTCAGGACGTTCGTACCCTGATAGGCCTTCATAGACAAGACAGTAGAGAGCTAGCAGTGACGGGAAAAGCGGTATTGCCACCTCAAGAAGACAAAACTTCTGGACAGAGGTCATCTCCAAATTATCAAAAAACTAATGGACAGATAAACAGGTGAGAAATTGAGGGTAAAATATGTCTGTCGAGTGTTGAACTGCCGATTCAGAACATGCACTATACGATCTCTTTAGTACATTTTTATTCAGGCTTTGGGCGCTCTACAATATTTTTTTTTCGTGTATCATGAGTACTGTTGTAAACCAAAATATAATTGACAAACATCAAAAAATTGTCTTCTCAACATGTATTTTTGGCTGATCTCCAAATTCCGGATATGATACTGTATATTCAATGTTCGCATCCTGTACTAGATGTGCATCTGAATATATTCACGAGTATTTCAAATTTTGTACTGACACAATCTTATGTACAGCGTTTTCCACCATTATATTAACCAACAGCCTCGTTTCATCCCAACTGGAAGTTTTATAAATTACTGCAGTATCATCAGCAAAACTAACGATATCTCGCTCAAAGGTCTGTCTCTTAAGGACTGTACATTAAAAGGCATAAGTCTAAGTACTGTACCTTGAGGAACCCCAAACTCCACTTCCATACAAACTGCAATCTGTTCAACAAGTAGCTCTTCATTAACAAATGGGTAGATTCTCTGAATCCTATGATTTCTAGCACTGCTAAAAACTTTTGATGACTGGCAGTGTCAAAGGCCTTCGCTATAAAACTGTAAATGCACATATGCTTTTACGTTTCTCCTCCATTTTTTGAGAGAATTTGGAAACTAAATAGTTTATGGTGTCTTGCGATGATCTCGCTTAAAAAAAACCATGTTTTTCTTTAAATAGCTGACGAGCCTTTCTTTGAGAATCTTTTCAAATATTTGGGTATATGTAGGAATGAGAGATACATGTCTATAGTTGTTGATTCCTGATTCATTACTATTTTCATGGATGGACTTGATGATTTTTGTTACGTAAGCAGAAAGGCAGTTACCTATTCTAAATGACCCATTCATTAAATATGACAGGGCCTCTGTGATTTCATTATATATATATATATATATATATATTAGCTGCATTGCATCTGTCTTGACACTATCTAATCCTGGAACTTTTTTCTTTTTTAATGATAATATAAGTTGCACCACCTCCTGTTCATCTATACTTTGTAAATAGTTGTGGTTATCTTGAACATAACTAGAACATAATTTAAGACAGCGCGAATAAGGCAAGAACTCTGCATCATATATTACAAATCTAGAGGAACATACACCTTATTTTTTTTGCCTTACGTTCGGGCGACGTTACATTTAACATTAGTCTACATCAATGTACGAATTAACATTACCAAGAACGAAAAAATGTTGTGCTGTTTTAATAATCAATGCAGCGGCCGAGAAGTTTTGAGCCGGAAACAGAAAACTCCAGGTCATCCACAAACTTGGTTTTTTGAGTCTCTGATCATTTTTATAAATTCTCGGATACATCATTATTATTGTATTGTAGGACGCCTTTATGGCCTCCTTGATTTTCATAGTCCTTCCTCTCCTTTAGAAAAGCTGGGATATTTCTAGATTTCTACTGTTCCGTGTCAGCGTCAGCGCTCTCCTATTGTCAGACTATGTTTTCTTCTTGAATTGTAGGAAATTTCAGGCTATATAAAAGATGATATAAATCAAAAGTATGAACAATTTGATGCAAATAGATATGTGTAACATAACCTAAAGCTAGAGCGCTGACACGGAAGAGTAGAAAATTATGAAAATCAAGGAGGTCATAAAGGCGTCCTGCAATTGCAGGAACGACTGACGATACGGCCCTTAGTGCTTAGAGTTTTGAGTGTTTGTTTGAAAAGTATACTTTTTTAACGTTTTAATAGTACTTTGCTGCAGCATTTGAATGATCCATGGCAAGCACTGAATTTAAATTGCGCAAAGAAATTTTACGTAAGCTTTGTTTATTTGATTGGTGCATTAGAAACGTCAAGTAGCTCGTGAAGTGTGATATGTTTTGCCTATTCAGTTTGGGTAACATATATTCATCTGTTTTGAAATGAATTTAAACTTTGAATCATAGGATTCTCAAAATCTTTTCAGGTCTCCAAAGCAGCCAGGTGCTTTCAAAGGACCGAAAGGTGGAACGCAACCCCCAGGAGCGGGAGGGGGAGGGGCAGAGAAAGGAGGAAATGGACCTAGACGAAGACGAACTAGGTACTACTTTCTAACATTTGTTTGCTGGAGATTTTTTTGAAAGTCCGTCATCATGAAAGATAGTAAATGGTTCAGAAGTACTGTTGTGGAACTTCAAATTGGAGTATATCATGATTCCCCTTTCCTTCAAAAAATATGATCCAAGATGGTGCATATAGTATCCATTTTCATCACCCCGAATTTCAGCTTGCTGATTTAACTTGTTCAAAATATAAGTTGTATTTCGGATTTTTTTTTAACGTGTGATTATCAAAAGATGCGTGTTCGACAAAGTCACGCTGTAAAGTGTTTTATGGCCAATGGAATCAGACGATCTTTTAACCACGTAATTTTACTTGAGAAACAAAAGTATTATCCTGTACTTTTTTCATGCTGTAGATGTAAGAAGTGCGAGGCGTGTCAACGTAGCGACTGTGGCGAATGCGGTTTCTGCCTGGACATGGTGAAGTTCGGCGGTCCTGGGAGAGCGAAGCAAACTTGTAATATGAGGCAGTGTTTACAGCCTATGCTACCAGTGACAGCAGCCTGTGCTATTTGTGGATTGGATGGATGGAATCAGACACCAGTTGCTCCGCTGCAGAAGGGACCGCAGAGGTGTGACGCACCTAGCAACCTGATGGAGTGCTCAGTGAGTAAAAATCATGAACAAGTTACATCGCCACATCACCTCAGCTCACAAGCTGTCATGGAACCGTAACATAAACCAACTCCTCTTTTGTTAGCTTAGGAATTTCAAAGATTAGTTCAACAAGGTTTTTGTCTTCAATTTTCAGTATCCCGGTATTTAGGCTACTTATACAGCTGCTTGGAATGTCTTTGGAATCCGCCGGTCGCCTTCATAGACCTTGAATTTGGCCTGCATTACGGATTTACCACAAAGATACAGCAATATATGAGCGAAGTGCCTTTGGTTTGACTGTTTGTTCATAAATAGCTCGTCATCTACGGTTTTTGGCAGTTATGTCACAATGTCATACTTTTTAAGTAAATACCTATATCATCTTAACTGAATCACTTGCGAAGCTTAATTTCTCTAGGGAAATTGCACACTGCACAAGCCTATCTCTCACCCAGCTGCTACTTGCTCTTACACACACACACACATGGATTGTGTGACAGAGGATCCTTGACTGTCGACAGTTTAGTTCTATTTTCAGACATTGCTATGTTTTATATAGGAGATCGATAAGAGGTAAACTCAAATCGCGCGCACATGACTAGCAAGTTGTTATATTTATTCGAAGAGAAAATTTGCAAGGCGGCGAGACAAAACTAAAAAAACGTGAACTTACACAATCAAACGTCCGCGAATTGTACATATATGGGGCACGGAAATGGATATATGAAAGTAATTCCTGTAGTTTTACCAGTGACCAGGCAAAAATTACGAAAAGGCGTATAACAATTGTCTTATTGATATATATTCTCTGTTTTAATTTTCCCAACATATGATACATACTGTTAAATAATATTTCACTTGGCAAGTATTTTAAAGATCGCATTTGCTAAAATATGAATGCCAGGTCTAGTAACTAATTAAGCTTCAAATAATACTATTTACTACGAGAACCATTTTTAACGTGAAATAATGTTATAATTACGCCTATCTTTTGTGATTCCTCTGCTCAATACATTTGCACAAGTATACTGTACTTGACAACGTGAATCAATATTCCCCTATGAATAAATGTCCAATTAACAGTAAACTTGAACAAAGCTTACACTTTCGCTGCAAGTGATGGACAATGAATTCATCAATGCATCCATTGCCAAATAACACGAGGTTAGACGCTATGTTTTTGGTTAGGCCAGACTATCTCTATTCGCCTTAACTAACTGTCTTTTCTTGGTACAAATACTCTTTGACATTACTGTTAAAATTACTTAATAAATAATTGCAATGAAATTATAATTTGGAAGATTTGGTACAGTAAACAAGGATTTCGTAGACAGGCGAAATCAGATTTGTTTTTGAATGAAGCATGTAGTATGAAAATGAAATAATATCTATATCAATCGATTTTAATTAATAAAGTTTTGATAATATACAACCGATTTGTTGAAAATCATTTGTGATAATTCTGTCAATTCTTCAACGAAAACGACTTTCTTAATTATATCGGTTCAGCCGTTACCCTCCTCATGTGATCAAGTGGTCACCCTGTAAAATCAAGCCTATAGTGCAATTTTTATTTATTTTCAGGTCTGTTACGAGATAGCGCATCCTTTGTGCGTCCAAAGGAAATGTCCAGACTTCACAGGGTATATCAATGAAGATATGCCAAATTCATGGGAATGCCCAATGTGCTGTAAACTGGGCAAAAACACAGACTACCGGCCCAGGCATTTCAGAGCCAGGCAGAAGTCGTCGGATATGAGGCGGATGTCCATCAGTTCCGACGCTTCCACTGCATTAGAAATTAAAGTGAGCTAGCAAATAGTTTCAAAATAATAACAGATTCCGTCAACTATCGGATGTTTTTCAGATGTGTAGAATTTTAAAATGAAATTAAACATTGAAATCGGGCATACGGGCATTGTGACGGGCTTGAAAAGTCAACTGATGTGTGTAGACTGAGTTGAAATATTCCCACAAAAAATTCTTGGTTCGATATTCTCAGGTTCATTATGAAAAATGATTACGCTCGTAGGGTACATCTTTTCGATCGGCTCGCACGCTGAGACTCGTGACACTGTCCTGCTGAATCTACAGTCCATTTACGTCAATTCCATTCAGTTGGAAAGTGATAGTTACTAGTAATTGATACGCAGTACTCTCCATTCCCTATAACATTCTGGCCGGAATCATAAAAAAAATTGTCTTGAAGATTGTGTTATTTCTTCTATGAGATAGATAGATAGATATATAGATAGATGCTTTATTGTCTTCGGATCATAGGTATGATATAAGTCTCATCAGACGTATCTCTGTAAGTACATTATTATGTACAAAATTTAAAAATATATTTAAGTATAAATACATAAATTTGTCGAAAAAGCAGCGGTTAAAATGGAAAGAAACACAGTTAGTCGAAAAAGGACGAACGACGCATGTGCGCACGAATGAAAACATACACTAAACAAGCAAATACAATAATAAACGGAACAAGGTGTAAAAGAAGTAAGTACAATAACAATAGAAAAAATATACATACAGCCATATTTCCAGTGAATGCGAAGGTATACTCAAGTCCTGTTTCCCTCTAGTGTTGTAGTTCGTGTTTAAGTCCTTGTTCTGCAGAAACTGGCCCCTGTGATTGAAGGTGTAGAGGTAGAATTTATAAATATATATACTCGAATGCGTTAGCAAGTTATTATGCTGAAATATTCCTTTACATGATTCGCTCCTTTCAGTGTTAAATATCAGCTTTAAAATATGTTTCTGCAAAATAAACACTCTGGACGCGGTGCATGCTTGTCCCCAGACGATGGTGTGATTTGACAGATGTGAATACACCATTGCGTAGTACACATCTATCAGCGTTGATTTGGGGACATTTGGCTATAATTTCAATATTGCATAGTAGGACCTATTCATTTTCCTGCATACACTGTCGACTTGTTGCTTCCAATTTAATCCTGCATCCAACTCAATACCCAGGAAGGTCGTAGAGTTTGAATTATTTTTTATGGCTAGACAAAGACTTGAAATACAATTGCTAAGTTATTGCAAAGCAATCACATATTCTCTGTAACACCGTACTACCAACCACAATATTATAACGATATATTTGTTTCATTTTAAACCTATAAACATACCTGATGTTTTAGTGAGCAATAGACATGGTTCCGTACCATTTGTTTTTGCCAAGTATTCAGTAGGTCGAAAGATAAAGCATTCCAATAATTTTGAATTGCTTGCCCTCGGCAATCTGGTTGTAGTTTCTTAAAGAATATTTACTCTTTCGAATACTTACGTTTCATAAAAGAAAACATTACTTTGAGCAGCAACAAGAGCATTTATCAGACTCCGGCAGCGAGAATGAACATAAAGACAATACGCTCGAGCTACCTATCAAAAAGAGGAGGTCCAGTGAGGGTACGGAAGTTGAGACAAAGACTGCAACGCCTACAGATCCGCTAAGGAAAACTGCTTTCAGGATGCAGTTGGCGCATCAAATCGCTAGTCAGTCCACCAAGGTAAGAGCTTCTTTGATATAAAAATGCAAAATCATTGCATATATGAACTATACGATTTCTACTATAAACAAGTAATCCTTTACCACCCAATGATCTATTCGAACACTGTTAACTTCAAATACAAATAGAAATTACGCGCCAATATTGTTTAAAGGGTATTTTTTTCGTCGTTTTTTCCATCTCGCGGTTAAAGATCACTTTTGTTTCTCTTATTAGGGCTATCAAAGTCAAATATTGTACAATTATGTGCTAATTATGAAAGTTTCAGAGAGATCGGATGAGAAGTTTGATGAAAAATAAGGTCCGATCTGTTAATATACCTTTGCTATGTTCGTACAATTCCGTAGGACTGATAGAGTACATATGTTACATCCAAAACGCAGTAGTTGGATCAATTGGAGTACATTTAATCATCGGTGTTTGGAACTAATCACGGATGCCAGAATTCTATTCATCTGTAATTCGTCGCTTATAAGTAACACTGATATGACAAAGCATCTAACCGTTACCACCGAGAGATGTCGGGGGTAACGATCTAACCCATATCGATGGTCTATCTAGTGGCAAAACCATGTATTAAACATTTGACTATTTTTTCAGGAAACCGGGAAACCCATTTTTCCTCGAACTATTGAAAATATAATTATGAATGGTTAATCAAAAATTTTGTGTTTAAAATATTAGAATATTCGTGAAATACTTACCTGATATAGCGCACTGTTTCTCAAGGACAATACCATATACTAGACCAAAACGACTAGAAATATAAAAATCTTGAATTTTGAAAAATGAGCAGAGCATTGATGATACCTAGTAACGCATTAGTAGTGTTACAGATAATCATGTGAAAAAGGGTTGTATGAGCGTACATTCTTGCGGATCGTATAATTTAGATTAGTGCTAGATGGACCCACTGATATCAAAAACGCAATTTCTTGCATTTTGAAGATACGTGGTATCGCCACTAGGCCCTCAATATTATTAATCTCTAAACTCATTAAAGCAAGTAGCAAGTTAGTAAAATTCAGACATAGCTGTGGGCTGCCTATACCGGGTGCTGTCGGACATATCCTAAAAACATCTGTCATCTAAATCCTAATTAGCATTTTCTCCAGTTCTTTCGAGTTTATCTGGCTGAATCTTGCGTAATTCTACACTAACATTGCTAACTTGTTCCCGCCTGTCATTGATACTCTGCTACTCTGATAAATTTGAGTAGTGGTAAGCTTATCTGTAAATATCAGACATCCCCGGTGCACTTTTTTGAGAATTAATGCAGGGCTTTGATTATATTTAATACAAAACAGTTTTTGAAGCTCTTTAAGGATAGTACAAACACGTTATGGCTTGATTGAACAGTTATTCAAGGCGACCGACTTCGATTACGTGTGATATGGTAAAGCGGCGAGACGGATATTGGTTGGCAATTATCTTCTAACTTGTCGCTTAAGGCCATTATACAGTGCCTTACTTATTTTTTGAACGGGTCAAGTTAGATAGCTGAAAGTCGGAGTAATGGAACTGATGCATGGATATTATGTTTTAACGAGGAAGTGGCAGTTGAATGAGTATGATACCTTATTTCGAAGCTCCTTATGAGCACTTCATAACCCTAAAATGTAGCATCACTCTCTTTCAAAACAGCGATCTGACAGCCTGTCAGATTTGAGCGATTTTGTACATTGGATCGCATATAACTCAACAACCAGTTATCATAAAGCTATAGTCTATCAATTTTTTTCTCTTGCAAAGATCTATCCGAATATGTAATATGGAACATTCCATTAACACAAGTTCTCAAAATCTGTCATTTTTTTTAAGGAATGTTCCATATTTTATGTCACGTTTTGATGATTAGTTATTGAGTCATAAACGATCCAATGTACAAAAACGCGTAACTTTGACAGCCTAGCCGATAACTTAAAATTTTTATTAGTTAGTTTTACGTCAATTTCATCATCCCGAATTTTAGCTCGCTCCGTTCAAAAAATAAGTAGAAGGGTGGCTTTCTGCATAGTGTACGAAAGTGTAGGTAATTTTAAAGAAACTATTTTTCATCCTGTGCATATTTACTCTAACGCTTATAGTTTTCGAGTTATTTATTTGTGAAACTGGTCGAATCTGGTTTTTCAGCAGATCAATTTGGGCCCACTCAGTCATTTCAGACCATCCTCTAACGAATAGATAGCATATCGACAAACTTTATTACGGCATTCATGCCTACTAAATCGCGAGTTCATTTTCGGTAAGGCAAAATATTTTCAAAGGATCGAACATACAATTATCACAATCGCAGATGTATGCCAGAACAATGATTATCTCACAACCATTCCATTTCACATATTTGACGTTATTTTGTTATGTATGAAAATCGAACTAAATCTGAAAATGCAAATTCTATTGTAAATGATCGGTAGAATACTTATGCCATGTAATGGATATCGACAAATGTTATCACAGCATTGATGCCTACTAAGTGGCGAGTTCATTTTCGGCAAGGCAAAATAGGTTCAAAAGATTGAAAATACAATTACATTATACTATCGTAGAAGTATGCCAGAACTATGATTATCTCACAGCCATTCCATTTCAGTCTGACACATATTTGACGTTGTTTTAATAGTGCACATATCAAAATCCAACTAAATCTGAAATTGCAAATTGTATTGAAAATGATCGGTAGAATACTTATGCCTTAAGTGTCATGAAATGGATATTGTTCAAAATTCGAGAAAACATACCGATAAACATGGAGAATGTGCCTTAATATGCCAAACGCATGACGGATGTGTATATAAACTAGTGTTGATTGGTTTCACCCAATAGATAATATGTATATATGTCAAGCTCACGTATTCTAATCTCTGTGCGGCGACATCGTGTAGGTCGTACCACTGGAAGCCTACCGCCGAATATTCCGATTCAATTCAAAGTATTTTTTCTCTCGTTTAACTGCACCGGAAAAATCTGGAACAAAAACAACATTATTCGTGGTATAAATGAAAATATCACACAGCAACCATACCATACCAGTTTTTTATTCATTTTCGTTTTTAACATCATTCCAGCTATCCACTTCAACAACATTGTAATTCTGTAATGCGTATCTCAAGCTTGTGTGGTCAAAATATTGCTCCCATAAACATTTTCAGTAACTGTCCAGGATTATCCTGCACCGTTCCTGTAGGAATACATTTCAAAACTTTCACGATTATACAGGGTGGCCTGATAACTTATCCATCTTGTCGGGTTTTTTTATGACATACGTTTTGTAAAAAATGGCAAGTAGGTTTTCTCTGCACTGCCCATGCAACGCGGCCATCAGTTCATATAGGATTATGTTTAGCGCAAGTTGGTAAAGGTAAATGTTAGCTATAATCTTGTACAAAAATTAAATGAATCAAGTCAGCCAAACAGCAAGTTCCCACCGATTCGGTAACGATAGAAATCTGTTCCCTGCCCTACCGAAAGTGTCGGCCATCTGACATGTTACCAGTCAGCCAGGCCAGCTGGGCGCACTCTCTGTGCGCGTATGTAGAGGTTCGTAGGGGTGCCGAACAACCGGACCGTGACCAAAACGCGACATGTATCTAGAAAATATTTCTCCAAGTTTTAAGGGCATATGTACAGGAAACTATGACATGTGAAATATGTCCTAATAGTTGCGTCGATTTAGTGCGGTTGGACACATATAAATATGCTAACGCCAAAAAAATTGAGATATACTATTCCCCACACCCGACAACTCCCAATTTGTAGCCCCTACAAAAGTTTTTCCGTAAATGATCAGGCGCCTCTGAAACATCAAAAAACGAATTTGTTTTTTGCCCATAGCTCCGCAGCTGCTCTACCGATTTTCAAAAACTAAAAATCTTTTTCGCCCTTGGCTTAATAATAGAATTGTGGAAATTTCATCAAAATCCGACTGGTACTTTCCAAGATTATAGACGGGCCAAGGATTAGCGGACAGACAGATAGACCGACCGACGGAAATGAGTGATATGGTTTTTCGTAATGTGCATGTCATTTAACATCCAAACAACATAATATCTAATCTAATCTCTAATCTAATTTTCGAATTTTTTCACCATTGCAGTATTTCTGGCCAGTATGTATAGAAGGAACTATGTCAACCTGTATCTAGACCACTTTAATAAATAGAGTGAAAAGGTTGCATTTTTAACCTAATTTCGTCGCATGAACACACTTATCTAAAAACAACTTAGAAATAGTGGGGTTTGAAAATATGAAATACACAGGGTGCCGTATGAATGTTTTAGGGAAAAATCAATTAACTCGAACATTTTGTATACTAGGTAAGGTAGTTATCAACTAAAGATTATTATACCTTCTTACAATTATAGAAAATTCAGTACTCAGGGATCTGGTTGCCATACTTTCATTTTTTAGATAAAATTTATAACCATTATCTGAACAATTACTCGAAATGATTGAGACGTACCTAAGTCAATCCAAATATGTAAAAAACTATAGGTGTCTAAAAACAAGTTTGTTTTCCAGTTCATTAGTCGAACACCATGTATATCCTGAATATTTTTGAAATGCATCTTCACAGGGATGGTGCAGGATAATTCTGAACAATTTTCAAAAAAGTTGTGTTAGGAAGCAATACTCTATCCATGCAAGCTTGGGCCACCCTGTACATGTGACAGAATTGTAATCTTGTTAGACCGTTCATTAGGGATAATGATACGGGCGACAATTCAAACAGTTATTTCATATCTTATATCGAGCCCACCATATACTGTAATAGGGTATGGACTGCCCAAATTGGAGGCACTGTATTCCTGTACTTCGGAATCTACTCGTGACAAAACTGGACTCATACATGTTGAGATTTAAACCTTACTATTTTTTTTAATAGCCGAACCAATTTCCCATAAGGTTTCTGTGCAACCTTTTGTGCAACGAGACCATTAGATAATCAGGACTGTTTGATGATAGATCATAACTTCATAACCATTATTATTTATTAATAGGTGTTAAAGAAGCCGATGGTGGTTGTGAGACCAGCGCCAGTTGTACAAATATCCACAACGCCCTTGAATACTCTAGTTACGGACAAACGTTGTATGCTGCCAGTATTCAGATACCTTTCTCCAAGGGAGTTACTCAATTGTACACTAGTGTGTAAGACATGGGCTACCTTCACAGTTGACCCCTCTTTATGGAAACGGATGGAGTTTAGTAGGAAGCATATTTCTTCAGATATTCTCAAGGTAAATTTACTTTCGGTGATGCAAATATTTTCCAGAATGGAAGAAACATTTTGGTGTCGGCTCCTCCGTTATTCCGTACGTGAAGAATTCGAAATACAGTCATGGCATGCGATTGTAGGGATTCAAAAAAAAGATATTTTTCCATCTTGCAGGGTATTGTGAGGAGACAACCAGAGGTGTTACACTTAGACTGGTGCCATATAAACAAATTCCAACTGCCATGGTTGTTCCAACGGTTGAATCAACTTAAAGAATTGTCTCTGGTTAGCATCAACGTTAAAACGGCCATATCATTAAGGACCAATCACTCAGCTTCATTACAGGTAAGAAAAATCTTTTTCGAGATTGTTGTTAGGGCTTAAGCCATGTCTGATCTCCTATTCAAAATTAATGCCCAATTTATATGGACGTTTTAATATACATTAATGGGCGGAATGTATCAAAATATATATTAGTCACACTTTCCTTATTGTAACTAATTCCAGGTACTAGATCTCAGTTACATATCGGACTTTTCCGATTCGGCGCTAAGAGAGATCTTAGGTCCCAACAACGATTCACGCACCAGTATTGCAGCTGAAAAAATACGCTTCAGGAACTTAAAGACTCTCAGGTTATCCGGTACAGACATAACGGACATCGCCATGAGGTACGTCACACAGTATCTGCCTAATCTTCAGCATCTTAGTCTCAGTATGTGTCCCAGGATCTCAGATGCAGGTAATTGTATATGACATTTTTGTTATACATTTTCTATATATAGTCTTGCGGAAACTTAGATCAAAAACAAAGGACAGTCGAGGGCATGTCCGCATTAAAGAAAGAGGAGCAGAAATAGAAGAATTGGTAACACGAGCTACGTTTATTGCGGAAATGCCCACGATTGTCCATTGTTTTTCATCTTAAGTTTCTGCAAAACAACTTGTCTTTCTTTGCATTTACTCATGGGCATGAAGTACCATGACAAGTAGTTATACATGGCCTCCGTGGCGATATTAGTTGATGCCTTGTAAACACGAGGTCCTCTGACTGAAGCCTCAAATGTGCCTGCTAGCTCTTGTTGGTGCCTTCTAGTTGTATTTACCTTTCCATCCTTGTATTCCTTCAGGCTATACCCAGATCCAGGTGTGATGGGCATATGTTTTCACTTCGGTGTTTTCGATGCACATTTATTTGGGCTTGATGAAGCCAATAAGCAGAAACGTACCTAGCTCAGGTTACCAATCTTGCTATTTCTGCTCCTGTTCCTTTATTGCGGACATTCCCACGATTGTTGTTTGTTTTTCATTGCTACCATATGAAATACATTCAATTATCAAGTGGGTGCAAATGCCTGAAATCGGATTTTACTGATAAACTGTAATCTTACTGTTAGCTAGAAGAATTCTCGAAAAGCGTTTTTCTATGTCTTATTTGTCTTTAAACGGTATGAGTTGCCATAGATGACACGGTACTGGAGTTCGTAAAGGCAACATGATCACATCATTCACTGTTAGTTAATCTGAACTTGAAAACCGAATTTATGGGCAACGGCTAGTTGACTTCCACCTTTAGGTTTAGTCAAATTAACTTGCGACTGAAAACTGTGCCTCAGACTTGACCACTATTTGCTTGTTTTTCAATATGACCTATCTGTTGACAGGTATTGCTCAACTGACAACTAAACCAGCGAATACTGTAACGAACCTCATTAGTTTAGATCTTAGCCATTCAAAACTAGTGACGGAAACTAGTTTGGACCACTTGTCAAAATGTGAGAAGTTGACGAGGCTTGACTGCAGACAATCGCTTAACATTTCAACGCAGGCGTTAATTAAATTCGCTGCTAAGAGTGAGCATAATCTGCAGGTAAGTACTTGAATTATACAGAGGCGCTCTTAAGGTTAGATCATTTCCTTTAGTGTATTATACTTCTTGCAAAAGTAAAAATAAGCAAAATGTTCTCCCCCAATAACACTTATATCAAAGTCTTGAGATGACTGAGTTGATAAGTTAAAAAACTGCAATAAATCTGTCTCCACCTCTAGAAAACGAGTAAGTAGGAAGATTGAACGTGCGTGGTTCATAAATTAGTTGGTAGCCGTAACTCGTAGATCTGATCTTAATTTATAGTGAGTGTCTGAACGATGCTGGTGACGCTGCTCCATTATGTTTAGATAGTTTTCCTGGCGTGTCCATTCCATTCCGTGTAGTCTTAGGCGCTTCCTTTTATTCAGCAATGGGATTAAAGCCCATCAAAAGTGTTCTTTTATTCATCGCTAATTCCATTAGGGCTCTACTCCACAAATGTACTAGACTAGTAAATTAAGTAAGTACAAGAACTTGTAAATGTGGTCAAATAATATTTTGCTCCATATATCACCGACTATACTAGTAAGAAACGTTACCCTGAAATTGCAAGTGCAGCAGTTAAAATAACATTTTGTAAATATGTTAATTTGTAAAAGTGTAGCAGAGAAATGTTTAAATCGGTGGATTTAGCTACAAAATAAAAACATTTGTATAGAAAAATCAGACTGGCTTTTGAAGACGGTATTGAGAAAATTTTCTTGAAAGATGAGCCATCAAGAAACTAGTGATGTGCCGCGTCGCTGTTTTGATGGATCGAGTCGACTACAGTCAGTTTATACGGTATTCGAATCATGATTTGATTCCCTGATTCGAGACCAGTACTCGAATTCTATGTTTGGTATTCGAATACTGACTCGAGTCCAGCCGGACTCGAGTCTGAAAATTCTAGTCCAGAACTAGAGTCCGATTTTAGAACAAAAGGGAAAATGAAAACAATTAAATAAATTCACTCTGTAGAACGCAAAACAAAGAAATCAAAACAAAAAGATGCAGGTTTAAACTTGTTTGTATTATTAGCGCCGCGCCACTTCATTGCTTAAGTGTACGGCCACACATAAGGAGGGGAGCGGATCGGAGAAGAAAGCGGAGAGGATAGCGGAGCGTTCGATTGACTTAAATTAAATATAGGTATGGCCACATACGGCAGAGCGCATGGTGGAAGGAAGCGTACTTGCTAGCTGGTAGCGGAGCGGTCAAATTTGCTTGATATTTTCGCGCGTATTAGGTTATTTCCTATCGTTTTAAGAGAAGTAAACGTGGAAAAATGGATTGTTAAACTTTAATTAGTGAAGTGTTTGGTAGCCGACCAATTTGGGATGTTTCACATCCACAGCACCATAACAGGTATATTAGATAAACTATGGACCGACATTGCGAGACACATATGGATATGGATATGCCAGGTAAATAAAAGAATGTAGAATTATATAAATATAAACTATTAGCAAGAGACATTTTTTCGTAATAACACCACCGTCACCTGGGCTCTGTACTGTTGATGGAATTTGCGAATTAAACACTAAGTAAACAGTTTGCGAGTACGAGCGAGTTAACCAAACTACAATACGAGACTCGAGTCAGTTGGACTCGCATAAATAGAATCGAGTTAGCGAGTACGAATCGATTCTTCCTGACTTGGTATTCGAGTAGGCGAGTTCTAAAGCAGGAATCGAGTCTGACTCGAGTCAAACCGTACTCGGCACATCGCTACAAGAAACCAGAATGTTCCCAACAAAGAGCTCCTAATGCGAATAATGTATGGAGACAAACCATTAAGAAATGGGAATATATCAGAGTTGCAAAAAGTAAAGACGAATCGGTAAATACAGTAAGTTGTGATTTAATACATTGGCAGCTTTCTGCCCCGCGGTTCTATCAACGGGACGTGTAGGTGGCGCCTTTAATACAGTGACCAAATTTCCCAATCATTCCCAATCGCCGGTGTGACGCTGATGTTGTAGATTTTGGTTGTTGCCACGATAGTTCACTGCAAAATCGGGTATCAGTTCGCGCATAAAACCATGCCTAAAACCCCCCTCAGGTATCAGTTAGTGAGTGTACAAATTTTTACTTTCGCTGTATTGAGGTTCAGGCGCTATGCAGACAGACTGGATAGACATTCACATTTATACATATATAAAGATTGTTTTGGAATGAATCTATTGTGTATTATGAAAAATAAAACTGAAACATTACAGAGTTTTTATTGAGTCGATTCAAAAGCATTGAAAACTGCTTCGTTTCTGCAAATTTGAGCCGAGTTTGTCATATTTGATGATGTTGATCTTAACTGGTATCTTAAACCCTAATATTTCCATTCGTCGAATTCTACACTCAATGCTACCAAAAATCAGCCAGGTTCAAATATCTTTTGATATCCTATGTGTTGTTACTATCTGATTCTTTTTACTTCCCACTCCTAGTGGCGGGGAAGTATTATGTAATCGCGAAAATTTTCTCAAACTGTCATCGCATGTTTTTGGATGTCACGAATAACTATGTCACTCATTTTCATAGATCTGTCTGTCTTTCGGACTGTACGCTAATCTTATAACCGCCTATAATTTGAGTAGTACTGCTTTGATTTTAATCAAATTTGCACACTACTACATTTACTATGCCAATGATGAAATAGCTGTGCAGTTTTTGAACATGGTTAAGTGGTGGCGGAGCTAGGAGCAAAGACACGAAAGAAAAATAATCGCTTAAACTTGTTTTTGACGTTTTAGAGGCTCCTGATCATTTTCGCAAAATTTTTTGTTTGGGTTAAATTTTGGGAGTTGTGGATTGTGAGGGTGAGGATATAGAAATTTTTGACGCTGGTATATTCATACGCCTCCAGCCCCAGGCATTCTACTCACATAATAGGCATATTTTACTCATCATACATGTCCCCGTACATTTACCCTTAGAACTTTAAAATATCTCCGACAGTCGGGTGTCGATACGTGCGACGTAGTCCCCTGATGGTCAAGCGTCGACGTTGGTGGTCCTAAGTCACATTCGGCAATCGCTTCCGCACTGTTGTGAGCACTGTGATGGCCAATATCGTCATTTACGGGAGATTAGTCATCGCAACCATCATGTGGACCTGCAGGAATTCCTGTCAGCTGGAGGAAGGTCATTTAATTTTTTGGTTATACTCGGACATGTTCGTAGTTAACTTTTTTCTTAGAAGGGCTAACTTTTGCCCAGAGTCAACTCACTTGATGCCATTTATTTGTAACAAGAAGCTTGTCCTATTCTTGTACTACTATACTATCACTTGTGACTTGTAAACTGTGGAGTAGCACTAGTATATCGTGTTTGAAAGTTAGATGGAACACAATATCTTGTATTAGTACAAGTTACAAGTAAATTCACCTGCTAATTATTTCACCATACTTTTTATAGAATAGGGCCATCGGCGTTCTTTTATCCATGATCGATCTATCTGTGTTGCTATCGGCAGTGCTGGTGGAGCGATGGCAGGTACATTGACAGATGTAAATTGGTGCCAAAAAGGCACAATATAATTTTTTAATACCTAAATTGAACAAACAAATTTATGGAGGAGAGTTAATACCATGTACACTTGATTATTATTGTACCGCTGCATTGAATGCAGAACGAATAACAGACTCACACGGGTAATACCATGTTTGTATTTACTTACTCTCCTAGAACTGACAGCTTTCTTCTTACGTGACATAAAAAATACTAAAAATCTTTTATTACCTGTATTCTAGAAGTGAGACATATAAAAAAAGTTGTAAACACTTTTATAAGCACAACATACTTAGGTTAGGATTCGTATTTGGCAGCAAAAGAACGAGTCAGCAATACATTCTTTTATTTCTCACATTCAAGCATCTTTAGCGCATCCACAGTTTCGTCTCTTACGTTATAGGGGTTGGCGACTGTTGTCAAGTATGCGTGGGCATCCAGATCCTAAATTATGCTGTTGTTGTGACTGACATACTTCGAAAGCACCCCGCACATAACATGGAATATGTTCAGTAAGATATATTTTCACCTTCCTGGATAAAATCCTTGTTTAAGTTCCTCGAGAACACATAATTTAGGAGGGCCTTTTAAAATAGCTGGTGCTCTTATTAGTAGATACCATCCTACATTTATTATGTATGGGAAGTGCTATTGCTGCATTAGTGTTTCAGCTGTTAAATGCCAGTGTCAACGTATAAAAATAAGCTTGGCCTTGAATTGACCTTTAAAAGAAATACTTCCTTTATTGTAACAGTTTTCCGAGTATTTGGCGTGAGAACTAAAATCGGTACATTCACCATTTTTTGGAAATCTGATAAACCTCCTCCTACTATTTCTGAGAAACTAATCATAGAATTGCTTGGAAAGCTAGAAATATATCATACTCAATTTTTAGATAAATCGATTTGGGACCCATTTTCCATGTTTTGTTCGGGGTCGTTTTTCATCACAATATTCACAAATAATTTATTGCTCTTATTGCAGGTGAGAGACATTAAGCTGGTGGATATTAGGCAGAAAAACTAGGATTAGTTGCAGAAACACTTTTGTGTTCTACCTCTCTATAGAGGCATATATCAGACTGATAAGGGGTTTAAGTTCTCAGGTAGGTATGCGATCCCAGAAATAAAAAGAGGAACATAAGCTGATGACAGGAAACAATACATACTTTTTCAAAAGATAGTGAGAGTGTATTCTACCTTACTTTTGTACTGGTTGTTTATGCATTTATTTGCTATAATGATTGTACATCTTTAATGAAATCACATAATGCAGAATATGGAGATAAAGGTAAATGTATTGATTTTTCAATTCGTTGGGAATCATTGTTTCACATAATTTTTCAAATCCTTCGGAAGTAGTACATCCAAGCATTCTCGAATGTTGGGGAATAATCAATCAAATGGGCTCTCAAGGGTGTTAAAATATCTGATTGAAAACCTTCATCCGTTGCTTGCACGACAATTTGAGCAGCCCACGCTGCTCAAATGCGACCTATTGATAAGTTATCACTTTACCATCAACCACTGAAACCACATGATGCCAGCATGGCTTGTATGCCAAAAACTCTAGGAGGGATTTTACCATGGTAGTTAATTAAGTGGTACACTGCTGTTGGAAAAATACAGGGTGTCCGCAAAGTTGGGGTTTTCCTTTTCAGAAACAAAGGTAATGTGTAGTGAAACGAGGGCAACCAAGTAAAAAAAAATAAAGGAAAAAGTACTCGCTCTCCAGTTGACGAGAAGGGCTAAGTACGTCTCTGCCTGAAATCGAAAGTTGTGCTTGTTGAGGGATTCTCGTCTACGCGATTCAGTAGTTCTTCCTCAACTTGCACCATTCGTGGTTTTCTAGGCCTCCCACTGTGCCCACCTCGAAATTCCTCCAAATGGCCCGTATCCCTGACTCTCTGGACCAGGTACACAAATCTGCGGGGCCTTGGATGATGTCTAGGGAAACGATCTGCATACACTCGCGACGATTCTGTAGCATTTTGAAGACATTCGCCATAAATTAACAACATATCAACGAGTTCATTATTGGTGTATGAGTGTGCCATTATTATTATTTTTTTTGAAACGCAATCGATTATACGGGTTCGTTACCTCTATATGCGTGACCCTTTACCGTCGGTTGAAGGTTGCATACTGACCTGACACACTGACCCCGACCCAGTTCTGTCGTCGGGTTTAGCTAGTAGCCGGTACCAGTCTGAAATATCGCGGCGGGTCGCGGCTACAGGACGGTATTCAGATATTTTTGATGTTGCACAGCCCTTTATCTCGGTTCCCTTAAGACATTGGTGTATATGATACTAAGAAAAATTGCTTATGTTTTCAAGATCTACACGTCGTGTAAAGGAAAACCCCAAGTTTGCGGACACCCTGTATTATAGCTTGAACCGTTGGTCAGCATAGGACCTAGGAGCAATGAAGACAAGCAGTTATGTCATCAGTCCACGAGCCGTCGCTGGTGCCACCTCTGGGGATCAATTTTCAAAAACTAGGGAGTAGAATAAAATTGGTTGAAAGTGTTCCTTTAACTTTGTAACAGCTTTTGAAATTTTTTGCGTTTGTATCAATTTTCGCAAAATAATACGTTCCTCCGTTCTTCATATGATTATACGTTTCACCACAATACTGGTGTACCACGCTCATTGGCCAATACACCGAAAGCTGGCAAAAATTACAATTTCTTCAGAATTTTACGATATACAGGGTTTTTCGAATGGGCTGATTCCAAATCTTGGGTTAATTTGTCTCTATGAGGGCATTTGGCGCTTTCAAAAGAAACCGAGCTGTTGTCGTTTAGGTTTTTCTGGTAACTGAGTCCGATTGAGAAGTCAGATAGTCACTATGAAGCCATTTTAAGGTATCTTCAAAGACAAATTTAAGATAAGTCTAGCTTCCGATAGAGACACGAATCATATAGGTGTTTGTGGCCGTTGTCTTCAAATCAGATATCGGGCATTTGTAGGTCATTTCAAGATCACTCAAAGCACAAATCCACCTCCCATAAAATCGCAGTATTTGCGAGTATATTTCTCAGTAGTTGTAAGAATTAGTTACTGACAATAAGTCTTTTCAAGCATCGCTAGTCTCAATTTGGTAAACAGGCGGAACTTTATTGAACACCTCTCTGAGTAATATTAACATAAAAAAGTTAAGGTAAAAATAGCAATCCGTTCAATACACAGATAGCATGAAAACAATATCAATGATACAAAGTCTCTCGAATTCTGCCGTAAAATAGCAGAGTCGAATGATACCCCACAAATCTCAACTACCATGCTAAAGGTAGCGTCCGCAAACTTCTGTTTCTTATTATTTAAGGTATTTATTCAATAAACAAGTAATTACATTCATTCATTTTCACTTCCTTTCTGAATTTTGTTGCCAGTTTGTCGCATACATGGACCACTGTAAGACGGCGACACTTGTGCACTTTTTCTCTGCTATCAGTTGTATCTTAACACGCTAACCGCCATGACACCTGACACTTGGGTTTCAGAACTTGTGGTCGATTGGGCTCCGACAACTGTATGTCGACCTTCATTACTATCGTGTACATTAAAGCCTGTAACCCAACTGCCGTGCTTCAAAACGCATTAACTTATATGAGAACTGTTATAGAGGGGCATGGTGGGTAATATTGCTGAATGAGCCCGGCACGTCCAGGATATTTTCTTTATCGGTGAAGATTTCTTCTAATAATCCTATGCAGTTATAAAAACACTTTTTTATTTTAGCGATGTAATACAAACAGTGGCTACTAGCTATAAATAATAATTGCAATATCAAAAAACATAGCAAATGAATTGCAACTAGTTATAAAGAATAATTATGATCATCAAAAAAACATGACAAACAGTAGAACTTATTGCATATATCGCAAAAAATTTTTGACTTAGGTCCCTTCTTCTGAGCGGCTTTCCTGCCTTCTTCAATACTTATTTTCGCATAACATGCTACACATTTTCGTCGGCCTTTTGAAGCAACTTCCTGCAAAACATGCTTTCTGTTTTCATTTTCTGTCTCCTTCCTGACAGTCACTTCTTCGATTTGTAACATACCAAGGGCAATTTTCTGTCTGAATTCTGTTATTGATATTTTCGCTTTCGTCACAGTTTTATACAATATGAAGGCGTTGACTACAGCTGAGCCAAGTAATATTTCAAAGGCTAATTTCCTGTACCACTTTACGCCTTTACGTAAAGGCGAACAATATGATTTAAGCTGATCTGATAGATCTATGAAAGACTTACACGAGTTGTAGTCAACAACAAGAGATGGTTTTTCTATTTCTGTTCCTCTCCGTGTATATTTAGTGGTTGTCTCAGTATGTACAGTGCTCAGACAAAGAATATCACGTTTATCGTGCCATTTCAAAACAACCACCCCTGTATTACTTTCCATTGCGCAAATTTCTCCTTTATTCAATTTTTGAGCCTCCACATTTTTTGGGTTGTTTTTTCTATTTTTTCTTAGGGTACCCACAAGATGAGTCTTACGCTTTTGTAACTCATGGGCCAAGGAGACACTAGTGTAGTAGTTGCCGGTGTATAAGATCCGTCCGTGGTCTAAAAGTGGTTCCATTAGTGACAAAACAGTCGAAACTGTAGCAGGTTTCTCTGAATGTTTATCTTTTCCACAGTATACTTTGATATCGTATGTATAGCCATCCTTACAACATAATTTGTACAGTTTTATCCCGAATTTGAACCGCTTATTTTTGATATACTGCCTGAATGACAGCCTGCCTCTGAATGGTACTAGTGTTTCATCTATGCAGACAGATTTCTCCGGAACGTAAACCTCTTTGAATTTATTGGTCAAGTTTTCTAATAGTGGGCTTAGTTTTCCCAGTCGGTCATTTTTATCAATAATTTCGTTATCGTTGAAATGTAGCACTCTGAGGAGTAATTCAAATCGATTTCTGGACATTTTACACGACACCTTATTGCTATATAAGGGATTCTTGGACCAGTAATCCGTCATTTTCGGCAACCTTGCTAGACCCATATACATTACAATTCCAAAAAATGTCGTAATTTCAACCCTGTTTGTATCTCTCCGCCTGTGTAAGCGCGAGTTTACTGCCAAAGGTTTGTTTTCGCATTGTCTAGCATATCTGTTGGTCTCTAGTACAATCAAATCCAGCAGTTCGTCACTGAGAAATATCTTGAAAAAATCATACGGTGCCTTGGTAATAAAGTCCTCAGATATCTGTGTAGTAACACCGACATGATCTAAATCAAAAATGAACTTTTTTAAATGAGAGCTGGTCGAAGGAATCCAGTGTAGTTCATCATGCAGAGGATCTTCATCGCTTTCATTTTCACTATCTATAAGACAAAACTGAGCTATAACTTCATCGATTACTTCATCAATAGTGGACTGACGTTGTTCTTTTGGTATGATGTTTGCATCTCTAGAAGTAGAAGGTTGCGGAACGCGATGATTGCTCCCTAGGATAACCGTAGGCATTTCAACATTGTTTGATCTGAAAGAAAAGATTATGTATAAGTATATTTTTCAAAATATATAATAATTGACTGATGCACTAAGCACAGGACAAAAAAGTCAGCACATTTTCTTGTCCACAATAAGGTTATATTTACCTTTTAGTCTTTTTTCTAGGATTTATTTCCTGCCAAGAATCGTCAGTTTCACTATCTGTACTAGGATGAATTATATTGGACCTCGAGGAATTTACAGCTGTTGCAAAGTCACTGGTGGATAATGTCAGTACTGGCTTGTTCATCTGAAGACCATCATTAGATTTCTTCGATTTGATAGATAATCTAGAAATTGCTAAGTCTTAGTTGGGAGCATTATGAAGGAGAAACCACACTTTTGAACAAGAAAGCAAAATTTAGTTGGTCACAAAATAATTATAATAATTTACCTTTTAGCTTTCTTCTTCCTGGGTTTCAATTGCAATGAGCTTGTGTCGGAGTCAACATCTGATGATGAATGACTGGGCAAGTAATCGTCTGAAGAATTGTCCATGAGCTCTGAAGGTCCTTGTTCCTCTTCGTCTGATAGCAGCTCATTCCACAATTTCATAAGTCTCATTTGCTCCTTTTCATATCTGCCGTCATTTTATTTTATAGCACAAATCACAACTCAAATTATTTTATTCACAACCAAGCCTTACTATTCGGCGCGCTCTCAACAATTGGACTGGAAACTATACGAAGCATCTGCATTTCTAGCATACAGAGACTTGTTAGAACTTGAAAAAATGACACCCTACATTTGGGTTCGCGGCGCTCAGTGATCGGGGGATCTGAAACCCATAAGTCGGGAGTCATTTTCAAAATATATTTTTGGGACATTTTCTAAGACTAACGTCTGATAACAGCCAGCACATCATATCCAGAGTAAAAATTAAGTATTTCCTAAAAAAATTATGTTTGGCCTGGGGTAGAATATTTTTTGCTTCATTTGGGCGATTAACGTGTTAAACACTAACTCTTACATAACTTCCCGAAAGGTAATAGAACCAGGTCTACTTTATATCAGTAATTCTATTCCTCCGTTTTGAACCCCTGAAGTATAGCTTTTCACACCAAACAAAAAGATGGTAGTGGCATTGCAGATCCTAAAGTAGGTAACCTACGCAGCTCGTGCAAGCTACAGACTGATTTCTCCTGTTCTTCTCTGAATTTGTAGTTACCTTATTTTTTAATATTCGTTATTTTTGAAAAATAGATATTGTGCATTTATAATTTTTCATGATGGACTTGTATACTTGTAACATAAAAACAAGTTACCTTTAGGAAACTAGTGCCTACCACCTGAGATGTTATTTGGATATATAAGGTACGTTAAGATTATCTGTTTACTATATGTTGCAACAAATGTATGTGTATGCAATACTCAAAACAGCAGTGCAGTTGTTCAAAGGAACATAAGTTGTATTAAATATCCACGAAAATCCCGATTACTAAACAGGATGACCCAGAAAAGGATGGCAGCATTTCTAGAGCAGGAAGTAATCTGAAAGGTTATACACACCGTATAAGCCAGATAATATGGTGACTTAGAATTCAAAGTTTTATTTATTGACAAACTTTCTTAGTGGTGTGATCAGCAAGCTGCTTTTCAATAATAAAGCCAAATTGCGAAGCTTTAGCCGCCATTTAGATAAACGTGTTTGATCAATCAAATAATCATCTTTCGTGAAAATAAGTTGTATGGCCAGTTTTAGACAGAACTAAATTCTCTGTCTTTTTGAATACATTCAATTTCACTGTACGGTCAGTAGTTAACGAGATTTGTAACGCAACCATTGTCGCCCTTTTACATCACTCTGTACAATCATCATTCTGACTGTCAACCGACGATCTGAACGCACAAGATCCCGGATTCTGTCTATATTTTCATCAGTTCTTGAAGATGAAGGCCTTCCGCTTCGTGATCTTCAATCGACTCTTTCCCTTCTGAAAATGATTCACCGAAAAACCTGAGCATCGTTGCTCGAAATTGATGTCACTCATTTTTACAGCACAATAGAAAAAACTTTCACAAAAAAAAACGCTGCAGACAACCGAATGACTCGAGCGAGTTCAAACTTGTACTGAAGGCTGATTGCATGTTCCCTCCAAGCCCGGTGCCTACAGTGTTGCTAGAGCGAACGCTATGTTGCCAGTCTCATCACCTAATTTAACAGACTTCGTATTCAGAAATATTAGTATCGTATCGGTAATTACATGTTTGTTGTTACTACCGCATTAAATATATGTACTTTGTTTTAACAAATTATTCACCACTACAACCTTCTTGATCAAGAATCAATATTTCCACTTAGAAGTTAAAGGAGAACTCTTTAAACTTGTTATAGCAGCTTTTTTGTTTTTCCTTGTTACGAAATACATCTGTTCCACATGAGATGAACTGTAACAGTATTGAACTTATTCTGCTACTTGTTAGAGTATTGTGTACAAGTAAAATAGTTTGATGGATTAAAATAATTCAGCTTTAATGTTTGAAAATCTTTTTCATTGAAAAATTCATCTCAGAAACTGGTGAAGGTCTCCTTTTTTATTTTAGATATGTGATAAAGGTTCGCTTTACACGTTGACAGTATTCGTTCAATGTTTCTATTATGTTTTTCAATGAAAACGATTTTATACTCTATGTACCTACCAAAGTTTTTATTTATCTTTTTTGTTTGTGATCAATCTACGTATCAAATTACGTATTATATTAGGTAGACTTCCAGAAGACGAATATTTTTTTTATTGATTTATAATTTTGTGCAATCCAGCATAATAGCACAGATTTCTTGTAAAAAGTATTATTAGTATAGAAGATATTTTTCAGTTTGTATAAAAATTTATAGTTAAAGTACATTTTTCACAACAGGTGTTTTATTTACATTCCTTTATTTTAAAAAAATATTTGCAGTCATCCATTAGAATTTGACAGAGCTAGGTTTCTCTTATCCGCAATAATTACACATCTATACTGCACTGCATAGTGTCCCATAATTGGCGCTGAGTCCAACTATTTTGTTCGTTAAAATGGCTATTTTCGGGGAGACTACGTTAATCAATGTTATTAGTCAATAGTGTTTTATACAGGATGGACCATCGTTATGATCGATAGTAAGTTATCATCATCCGATCCAATTTTTAGTGAATACCTATCCGTCCAATACTTCATGAAATATTTGACCATTTTCTGATTTTTTAATAACCATTTTGAATGTATGAATGCACAGCATTTATGATGTACAAACATATTTTACGGAATAATAAAATATGGGTTCAAGAAGTGTATTTTCGTTTTTATCTATAATATTTATTTACTCCTAAAAAACAATATAAAGAATGAGTAAGAAATCTATGGGCGGGCGGTTAGAAAATCTTTCCAAAGTTTAGTGATGTGCAACTTGGATATTTTCAAGTATCCGATGATTAAAATAAATGTATCCGATCTTTTGTATTGGATAGTGTGGATACTGTGGTCTACAAAATGTGGATTTTAACTATAGGATGAAAGATATTAGTTTTGCTAATATTGTTTTTTTTTTGTTAAAAATTGTTTTTCTAGCTATTTTATTGTTGCTTACTATAAAGATTAAGGAGTATAAAAATATACTATTAGTTATCTTGAACATTTACTAAAATAACATTTATATTTCTAATCCAAAGTAATAACAAAAATGTTTATATTAACCTAAAAATATTCTTGAAATTTAACGAAAGTATAAAACGAACTTCATTTTCTTAATAATTAAAAATGAAAAACTAAGGAACACTTTAATATTCCAATAGTAAATTTTATTTTCGTTTAAAAAAACAACTTTTCCACTGCCTCTGGATTCAAGCGAGATCTTCTTTCAGGTATGATTTGTCCTGTAGTTCAAAAAACTCTTTCGCTTGGGACCGATGTCGCAACCAAACTTAAATATTTTTTGTCAAGTTGAGCTAATCTTAGATAAACTAATTGTCTACTTTTCCACCATTTCAAAACCTTTTCGGTTCTGCCAATAACGGGCTCTTCATTATATCGCCGTAGTTCTATTAAACATTCGGATAATGGTGTTGTTCTCAATTTTGATGTTGCATTTTTTTTTTCGAAATCTTGCCATATGGGATCTCCACATTTCTCACCCGTATCTGATGCATGGGGCATATTAATATTTTTTTGGTGATTCACTCATTTCATGGGTTGATGCGTACACAGGCAAAGTTCATCTTTTGTTTCTTACACGTAATAGACAAGGAAAAGATAATAATTAAAGTATCCGTTTTGCATATGCAGAAACCTGTAATATACTTTCAAATATTTTTAGATTTGTTCCTTAGATGGCGGGCAAAATCAAGTATCCATGGTATACAAACCCCAAAAAAACGAATATCTGATCCTAGGATTTTATTTAAATAAGGGATACTTTCTATCGGATACTAATATTTTGCACATCACTTCCAAAGTTCAAACAAAACTTCGCGCTAAAGTTGTCAACAGGTTCTAGCTTGACTTCTAAGCTCTCTCCTTAGAATGTTTCCAGCACTTGCCATATGGTGAATTTTATTTTAATGTGGCCTTGCGTATTTTGAACAAAAATGAATTCATATTGGTTTCCTCTTACGGGAAATATAGGGTGTCCCAAAATTAACGCAAGATTTGAATTTGCCGCCATTTGTGCAGTGAAGTGTTGGCAACCCTGAAAAAAAGCAATTTGACAGCTAACAGTATAGGGTTATGAAAAATGGAGCGTTACACGATAGAACAACGTGTCTTCATTATTAAAGAATATTTCAAAAATAGTGAAAGCTTGGCGGCTGCAGTTCGAAAATTTCATGGAGACTGGATCCGTTGGAGACGCCAAACACACTGGTCGTCCAAAAACAAGCCGTTCAAATGTGAATATCGAAGCAGTGCGTGAGAGTGTTGCGGACAATCCAGGAACCTCAATTCGACGTCGTTGACAAGAATTGCAAATGTCAAGAACCTCTCTACAGCGTATACTCACCAAAGATCTGTGTCTTCATGCTTACAAACTTCAATTAACACAACAATTGAAGCTTAATGACCATGCAGAGAGAAGAGAGTTTGTTGAATGGATTATTGAACATCAACAAATGGACCCTGATTTTTCAAGCAAAATCATCCTAAGCGATGAAGCACATTTTCATCTTGATGGCTTTGTCAATCGCCAAAATTGCCGCATTTGGGGTTCGGAGAACCCACGTGTGATTGTCGAAAAAGAAATGCACCCACAACGCGTGACTGTCTGGTGTGGATTTTGGGCTGGAGGCATAATTGGGCCATATTTTTTTGAAAATGATGCTGGTCAAGCAGTGACTGTTACTGGTGCTCGATATCGCGACATGATTACACAGTTCTTTCTGCCAAAATTGAATGATATTGATGTACCCAATATGTGGTTTCAACAAGACGGTACCACATGTCATACAGCCCGTGAAACAATTCAATTACTGCATGAGACATTTCCCGGTCGTGTACTCTCTCGTTTCGGTGATCAAAATTGGCCTCCTAGATCGTGTGATTTAACACCATTAGACTTCTTTTTATGGGGTTATTTGAAATCACAAGTCTATGTCAACAAGCCCACAACCACCCGTGCATTAAAGGAGGAGATTCAACGCTGCATCAACGAAATTCAGCCACATTTATGCAGAAGGGTCATGGAAAATTTCGACAAAAGAGTGCGCATGTGCATGCAAAGCCGTGGAGGCCATTTGTCCGATGTGTTATTCCATACATAACCCTATCCTATGTACTTTATGAGTCAATAAAAATATAACTATTAAAAGACTAAAAATGGCATTTTCTATTTAATTCAAATCTTGCGTTAATTTTGGGACACCCTTTACAAAGGATTTGATTGAGTTCTCCTTCAATATACACATATCGGATACGTCATTATCATTACACCAGCCGTGGTAAACCTTCAAAAAACGGATGCAAATATCAGACGCTAAAAATGCATTTGTCAAGGTGGAAAATACCCAAGTTTGAAAATATTTGCCCAACGTCTTATGCTATTAGGAACTAGAGTTACGCGAAAAATGCAATGGTCAAGGTGGAAATTACCCAAATTTGAAAATACTTGCAGCACGTGACATGTTATTAGGAACTAGAGTTACTATTGAAGAGGATACTTCCTGACAAGAAATATGACCGACGCTATTTTTGTATAGTAACACGGATAATCACTCCATCATGTACAAACTAAAAAAAAAAAAAAACAAATTTATTTGTTACCTCGAATGGGAGATTTCGATGTCGTTGGGCTGAGTAAAGAATAAAGTCAGGAGAAACTAGCATTCTGCAAACACCACGAATGGAAATAGTCGATATCGTCGGTCGAATTAAAAGATAGCTCGGTGAAATTTGCATTTCGGGCAGATTACAGAATATAGTCCGACGAAATTTGCAAGTTTATTTGTCAGCAGCTCGAACGCGAATAGTCTGTATCATGGGGCAGATTAAAATTTGTAGTCCAGTGAACTTAACTTCGCAAGTTTATTTAACGAACAGCTCGAACGGTAGTCGTCGATCTCGTCGGGTGGATCAAAGTAAAATTGACTTTACAAAAAAGTAACATTATCTGTTTCTAAACTGCCTCAGGCATGGAGAATCTACGGCTTGCAGAGTGTGTACTTGTTTGATGCAGTTCCGAAGCGAATATTTTGAATTTAAGTTGGAGTCACTACCTGCCAGGAAACGTTTTTGCCAATTTTTTGAGAAGCAACCAGTTCAAAACTCGAACTCTCATTTTTTCAACTTTCAATTTTATGTATGTATTTGACAAATCATTTATGTAAAAGCCCTTTTGTATTTTTTTTTTCAACACTTGACCCTGACAGATTCAAGTTTTCAAAGAAGGGATGCAAACATTGTAAAGATAAACTTTGATGTATCAAAACATTGATGGTTTTTTAAACTATGAAACATGAGCTATGACCTAGTAATTATCGAAAATAACTTTGATATGGTATAAAAAGCTTTCTTGATAAGGTACGCCTTTAATTCTATGCTTAAACGAGCCGGGGCCAACCATCCTAAGAAGCTTAGGATGAACATTATAAAAAAGGATTCCATAGTTGTAAGAACTGTTTCTAGTTATTTGTAGACTATGTACACTGTGCGTTTTGTTTAGATCCAAATTGCTCTGTAGGTAACATAAGCAGATAAATATATATAGAGATGGAAGAGTAAGTATCTTTAGGTTGATAAATGCCTCCCTACATGGCTGCATATAACTCAGACGTGCGATGACTTATGCAGCGCTTTCGTAATGCAAATACTTTAGGCATATGCACAGAGTGACCCCAGTTCAAGAATGCATATGACATTCTTAAGTGGAAATATCCATAATATGTGGTTAGCAACGTATCACCAGAAACACAGGTTTTCAGATTCCTAATTAAAAAAATGGTCTAGGATAGAGTTCCCTGAGAATACTGTTTACATGTTCCTCCCAATCAATACAGCCAAACATTTTACTGTTTCTATGGTATTGACGTTATGGTGAGACAAACTTATTACCATGGACTGTGTCTTTGAAGCATTAAGTGTCAGTTTATTCGCTAAAAACCAATTTATTATATACTCAATATCACAGAGAAAAGTAGACCAATGGATTTGCTACTACAGACCATTGTTGTGTTATCGGCCAACAGTATAAGGTTTTTTTTTTGTACTACAAATAGGAAGGTCATTTATCTGTATTAAGAATAAAAGTGGATCCAGCACAGAACCCTATGGGATGGCACATGAAACTGTAATTGTGCTGGGGGTAGTGTTGTTGAAGGTTAAAAGCTGCTGTCTGTTGCTCAAATAAGATGACAAGAGCCTAATGCTACTATTATGGAACGTGTAATACGCCAATTTTTGTCCAAGAATGTTGGACACAAAAGCCCGATAAAAAAAAATAGATAATTAATGTCAAGTATCTTAGCAAGTAGGAGTATAAGTGAGATAGGTCTATAATTTGAAAGATCTATTTGTTTAAAGAGGGGGATAACTTTCGACTGTTTGAAAATATTAGGAAATATACCATTTGAAATAAACCAATTGAATAATTTTGTTGATGGTATAATAAGGTTTTGAACGGTTGTAATATTAGTACCAAAAACTTCAAATATATGCCCATTTATATATCAATGGTATATGAAAATGACGATCGATGGTAAACATTAATATATTAAAATCTTTCAGAAACATTGATGTATCGTCTTTATCTTCAATTTAAACCTGTATTACCTGAAAAGTCGTGAGGTATTGGTTTTCTTTTAGGTATAGTTACAAGCTCTTGTTAAGTTAAAACGTCAAATGAGGAAAAAATATATTACCTAACCCTGCCACACTCTCAGTCATTCTCAAAGGGCCTTCAAGTCTATAGAATCACAAAAAAACATTGTAAACGTAAATAACTCTAGAACAAATGGCTAGTGTTTTGAAACACATACAACATTTTCTAATACAATTTAATACTAAATGGTTCCCTAATATTAACACCAGGTTTTCTGATGACTAACGCTTTATGTTCCCTAGTATATGCCACTTCCAAGTCGACGGTTCCCAAAGTTTTGCTGGTGAGTGTCGCTGCTTTGACACCAGGTGGCGGTTTGAAGATAACAACTCTCTCTACCCATTCTTTGGTAGGATAATCAGTTTTATCAATCAAATTGCTGGTAAGAGTGTTGTCAGCATATTCCAAGTGGAGATACAGGTACTTCTTTGCCCTGTACTCAAAACTGGCATGGTCATCGACAAAAAGTGTCCCCGAAGCTGTCTGTTTGTTGTCTAGTGCCACATAAAGGGTAAAAGGGTCATTGTGCATCAAAGACGAAGATCTTCTGGGACGGTCTTTCCTTGCTATTATGTTACCACCCCTGTAGAAGGCAACAATTTTATCCAATGAAACTGGGATATTGTGGGTGCCACCCTGGTACATCTTGAAGTCTTCAATGTCATACCACTGTTCTGTAGGACCTCCTGGTAGATACACGCTGATGGTGGACACGCCTGGTTCTGCAATAAAGATATTCAATTTAGTCACATCCACGCAAATAACATTGTCATGCGACCCAACCTTTTTGACACACTGAGCTAATCAAATCTCCAACCTACTTTATTTTTCAGTGACACAAGCTGTCACCATACTAGACGCAAGTGTAGAAAACGCTTAGAGCACTGCCGCATTAGCAGGTATACGTTTCAGTAAATACGCATGTATAGTGTATAGTATAGTGTTGGTACAATGGTGCCAAAAAGGAACAAAGGTGATCTATTTGCCAGGCTTCGCCTCCCCATTACCACTACTGCTAGCTTAGGTCTCATCAGCATAACTGGGCAAGCTGATAGTGAAGATCGAACTTCCCACGTTATACGTTCACTACAATACACTTTGTAATCAGAACGGTTTTGGTATATGTATAAGCAAAACTTTTCTTCTTAGAGGACCAGTCCAGTCCGAATGTTGTCGACCATTCTGGTTATCATAATAACCATTATTTACTAACTATAGTAAAAATAGTTGATAGGCTACAGTCACTATTGCCACACACAGTCCAAATTAACAAGAGAGTCATTATACCATGTTCTCTAGCACATGTGACAAACTGTTATATTTTTGTTTTTTGCTATCATGTGTAGACGACTTCCTTTCGTGTAATTCTGTCTTGCCCTATTGTACACATGGCGTTTATACAGGGAAAACCAAATTTGTCTGACGGCTTGAGTTCAATGTGTACGAGAGACAAGCGCGAGAAGACAAACCTACTATGTTAGAAAGAGACAGAAGCCGGCTGAACCCAAGGAGTCTGTTCGAATATTTAATTTAATATTTTGTTTTCTTTTTTATTAGAATTATTTATTTCAATTTTGATGCGACTTAGTGTTTTAATTTACCGATGGTGATAAAATCAACACATCTCGAGTTATTGTTATATTTTGCGTAGCGCTGCGGTCGGAAAATGCAACAAATATCGATACGCAACACACAACCTGCGTGTACGCAGGTGAAAGGCATTACGAAGCAGGATGACACTCCCCAATGAGCGCTAGATTGTACTGACCAAAATTGCTCATCTATGATCAAGGAGGTGGAATCCTTGCCTTGGAAAGCACGAGATGCGGTGTTGCCAAGCGAACCAATGATGCAATGTTGCAGAATTTGTGGCGAACCTGACTTTTCATTTCGACAATTCACAATTCAAAAATGTGTACGCTTCTTTGGGAGTAGGGAATAAACTAGCGCATACTTTCAACGTGAATCTTAATTCAAGGAACTGGTGAAAGATATTGGCAATGCGGCAACATTGCCGCGTCAGCGTTACTAGGCAACGCGGCGATAAACTTCGCTGTGCATCCGGATTCTATCGCTTTCTAACATAAGTGTCTACGACACCCTTCCCACTTCAGTTGGCCCAACTATTGAAACCTTAGTTTTTTTTGTCAAACACAAATAATAAAAATGTAGCAGTTATAGGTTTGTTTTGTTGCAATTACAGCATATCAACCTATTTTCATTTCAATGCAAAATAAGTCTATAACGCATAGGTGGCTGTGAAAAATAAAAGCCATGACAATTGTTTTTATTAATCACAGCTGTCAGAATACGTCTAAATAGTTTTGGGTAGTTAAGGTTTTCAAAATGGGTAGAGGAAAGGTTATTAGTGAGAAAATTCGGTTACTGATAATTAAATTTTTTAATTCTGGGAAATCAAACTCAGAAATGGCAGCTTTGTTAGACTTATCGCGGTACAGTGTGAGAAATATTATTAGAAGATATAACGTAACTGGTTCAGTTAATATTAAGCCATGATATGTGAAAAAAAGTAATATCACAAATACCGACCGAAGAGCATTAAGAGGAATAATCGTGAAAAACAGGCGTGCCAATTATTTACAGTTAAGTGCTCTGTGGAGTGACGCTGTTGGAAGGAGAATTTCGAGGTCCACAACTCATAGAGAGGCCCACAAACTGGGATTTAGCACTTGCAAGGTAAGTTTTCTTATAAAAAATAGTGAAGTAAAAACCCTAAAGTTGCAGAACTTGTTTATAGGCCAAAAAAGGTATCAAATCACAAACACCGTTTTAGGTAACCATATCACGGTTATCTACAATAGATATACAAGTTACAAACACGCTACCAACAAAATCTGGAAAGCCATTCACAATAGGTTGTGGACTAGAGAGTGTTGCTCCATCGTGAGTTATTTGACTTCTAGATGATTTATTTTTTTCGTATGGAAGACCAGAAATGTATTGAATCACTGTTTTGAATATCATTAACATAGAGAACAAATGCTACCCTTACAGTAACTACAGGCGGCATTTGACAGGCTATGGTAGAAATAGGTGTGTATTAAGTGATGGTATGTTTAGTCTGAATTGTGCTGTTGAAGATGGAACCGGTACGGGTATTACGTAAAAAAACTATAAAATATCATCTTGCAGACTAGGTAGTTTTTAGGGTGCTAACAGTCATTCCACGTTTGCTCACTACGATCGTTGTGAGCGTCAATCTATGGAGGACTGACTCAACTACTCGCATTGTTGGTTGCATACGTTTTGTGAATCCGAGTAGTCTGTAGTTTGCATCTCTGAGAAGAAAGTTGGTTGTAAAGCAAGATCGCACCTGGATGATTATTTGAATTGGTCTGCATGTATATAAAATATTTTGCTGTGTGAGAAAATCATCACTGAATATGCTGCGAATGAAGTATAGCTACATGATTAGCTGTGCCCGACGGGTTATTTATATGTTGCTTTTTCTGAAAACAGGTTATGTTCAAAGTTATAAATTACGTTTTTGTGTTTTCAAAAACTTTGAGGAGAATTGCGGGAAAGCACCCCGCGCCCGCGTTGTGTGTAATTACTGTTAGCATGTATATGACTTGTAATTCGATAGTGTACAGTGAATATAATTATTTCTTATCTCTTTCATTTTTTAAATTCAGCAAAAATCCAATGGATAACACAAATTACACAAATCCTCACTATGCACCTATACATTGCTGTTTCCTTTTAGCTATAGTATACAACTTAGACCTCCAGTAATGCCATCTCTGAAGCAGATTTTACGTCACAACAGAGCCAAACACGGATAAATGAAGCATCATGATGTTTAGGTAACACGTACAACTACAAAGCGAGTTCACAACGTGTCAATCAGCTAGTGCTAAGTTAACATCTTGTAGAAAAACCTACATAATGTCACAAAAAAACAAATACAATGTCAAAAAATCGACATAATGTTTTTTCAAGATACGTAATACCCGTGCGTTGCGAACTGAGTGGTTCTCGTAGGTTGAGAAGATTCAGATGTAATAAAAATGTTGTTTTCGAAGTGTTCATTTGCCCTATACCTCGAAAGGCATTGGTCTTCCGGAAATCACCAAAGAGCAAAGTGATCTTAAAATAGACCATATAATCATCCCCTGAATGTTTGTCCTATGTTTACAAAATATCACGCATGAAGTAGTTTAAATGTGGGAGTTTGAATAATTGCACAAAATCTTGTATAACTATGAACTAACACGTAAATAGCAGAACAGTTAGACCAAAGGGAAGCCGAGCGAGAGTTGTCCCGTGAAGCAGATGACATAATTTCTGAGCCAAGCTGAATAAGAGGTGAATATAGAAGTTGAGTGGCTAATTTAAAATTAGATTCAACATTTTATTTTAACTGGCAATTGGCCACAGTTGAAGGATCCGTGGAGTGCAGTACATTTTAGATGCATTAAGCCACAATATCCAAATCCGACACTAGTATCGACTGCTATTTCTCCGTTGACCCACCTCATCTGCGCTAAGTATCAAATTTCGCCCAGCGCCCAAAATATTATTCATGCAGTCTTTCAAAGAACACATAAAGCCAAGCTTACCAGCGATCATTCTGGCTAAAACCGCATTGCCGACGAGGATCTCATTATCGATATCCAAAACTTCTGCTTCCTCGGGAAATTCGTAAAACAATGGCCTGATAACAGGTTCACCAGTTGTTTCATGTTCGTAGAATAACGTGTACCAAAGAGGCAGGTGAGCGTATCTTAGCCTCAGGGCAATTCTGACCCTGTTCTTCACGTCCTCTGAGAATAGGTAGGGCTCTCTGCGGCGAGTGTCAATGTGCGCATGGGCTCTCATGAATGGAAGCCATACTGCAGCTTGGTACCTGGAAAGAACAATAGATGAATTCGACACCTCCTTATGCCACCTGTTCACAATGGGCCAATATGTAAATAGAGCTGAAAACGGGCAGGCATTATAGAACACCTGGAGTGCAGGTCAAAAACAGGCGCCTACATAATAAAAAGTAATTGCTAATTTACACGCTGACAGTCGTATAAATGCTTTATACATGCTTTAGTAGTCTTATAATACAACCCTTACTGGAATGAAGCATTTACATATTGCTTATTGCTTGTACCCCTTGAACGGAAACATCTCGAATATGAAACTGCTAAAAAATATTTGTCTCGTTGATCAGTATCCAGTATTCCATAGGTCGACAAATGAAACCACAGATGTAGGATTAAAAGATTGACTGATGTTTTGAACACTTAGGTGGCCTTATTCAAAGCACAAAGTAATAATGAAACATCAGTAAATCTTTAAATTCTCCATACATGGTTTCACCAGACTTCGGAGATTGATATAGAAAATGTTGGAAGCATCTTGAATGTATGCGTAGTGATTGTGTGTTTAAAATGAACGGAATATCAATATATCGCGTTTAGAAGGTCTATTCGCCGGAAGTGTTAAAAATTCCTTCCAAATATCAAACATAAAACTTCACCCAAAAGTTCTAGCCTGATATGGAGATTAGAGTTATATTGGATGTGAAAATAAATGATTCGAAATGTATGTATCCTCCAGCAGAATGATTTTGATGAGTTCTCTTTCAGTGTATACATTCCGGACAAGTTTTTTTTTCAACAGAAAAAGGTGAGAAATGGATACACGAGCTCTGTAAACTAAGCGATGAAACTGATTTTTTTAATTCTTTTATTGAAATATAATTACAAATTTATATTGTCATCCTCAAAACAACTTCCTGCTGAAGCTACACAGCTCTGGAGAGGGTTCTTCCACTCCTCATAGCAGTGCTGGAACACCGATACTGGAATAGCTTTCAGGTGGTCGATTACAGCCGTTTGAATGTTTTCGACTGTACAATGTACCCTTGAGGAGATTTTTCAACTTTGGGATAAGAAAAAAGTTACAAGGACTCAATTCAGGCGAATAAGGACTAGCAGCATTATCGTGATGCAACACCCAGTTGTTCTTGATCTGCTGAACGGTGGTGTGAGTCAAATTTAACTCTTCTCCGATCATTCTAACTGTCAACCGGCGATCTGAACGCACAAGGTCCCGGATTCTGTCGATATTTTCACCGGTTCTTGAAGATGAAGGTCTCTTGGTTCATATTCTATCGACTCTCTCCCTTCTGAAAATGCCTTAAACCACCGAAAAACTTGGGCTCTTGACAAAACACTATCTCTGTAGGCCTGTTTAGCAAGAGTTTCCACTGCACTGCGCCCAAGTCTGAAGCAAAACCTGATAGGACACCGTTGCTTGAAATTGATGCCACCCATTTTTAGAACACAATAGAAAAAACTGTTTCACAAAAAAAAATCGCTACGTACAACCAAATGACTCGAGCGAGTTCTAACTTGTACTGTCTTCCCTCCAAGCTTGTCGCCTGAAGTGTTGCCAGATCGAACGCTAAGTTTCCAGTCTCATCACTTATTTTACAGACCTCGTAACCAATGTATATCTGTATATAAAATATGCAGTTTTGTCAAGGTAGGTGATACCGCTTTATCATCGAATCAAGAGGAATGCATATTACGCTATTTGAGGACTGTGATATCAAGTTTGAATGGCCTAGACGCTAGACTTCGTGATAAAGTAAAGACTGTGTATTAAATTACATTTTAGTGTTAAAGTTCATTCTATGGTATATTTTATGTTATATTTATCATTGTATTTATTTTATCAACTTTATTTTTGAATCGAACAAGTTAGTATGTTTAATTCGTGCAAATAAATACTCGATTCGAGTTTAAAAGTAACATTTGGAATTTTATTTTGGATTTTTTGAGTGGAACGAATGTTCATGTGATACCTGATTTGAATCTCCTGATGAGTAATTTATAACAATAACAAATATCAAAACGCTATATTATGTGATCTTCTTTTTTGAAAGCAATAAAATATGGATCATCCTATTTTAAAGCATTGCTAGAATCTGCTGTTTTTAAAATCGCCCCCATTGCATAAGTCATAACCCTCTCATTCGTTAAATTGAGATATTGAGAGATGCGCTGATTTGTATATGATTTTCCTAAGCAAAATCTGGCATACAGGCGTATTTCGAGATGCGCTGATGAATCCATACCGACCGTCGTGTTGTTACAGGAGCATCTCATGAGGATTGTGATTAACCTAATAAAAATTATAAGTGGGTGTGTTGATACGTTGCAGGTGTGCTGTGGTTAGCTCAGAAAAAAGTTATTAGTAGCAGCAGTAGTAGTAGTATAGTTTATTGGCTTTCACACAAAGTGTTTTTGCATGTCAAAAGATATGTAAATACCTACAAATGTAATACAGTGAGTATATACAAATGGCACACAGATCTTTTAAACAGAAACAGATCACTAAAATTATTGTTGAGATGCTCCTCAAATGAGAAGAAAACATAGGTAATCAAATATTTTTTAATTTTTCGCATGAATATGCTAGTTTCTAATCCCCTACGTTCATAGGTAATACAATGAAAAAAAAAAAACGTGACATATTGTCACTCTATCAGATTTTTCAACTGGAAATTTTCTTTGCTTTTCTGCTTAATATTTTCTAAAACATCTTCTCACAAGATTCTCTATACCCTAGATTAGCAACAACTGTGATGCATCTTCTATGAAGTCCAAAAACGTGTTTGAAATAGGAGTGCCCCAATTGAACTACCGTATAGATAGATAGATACATTTATTGTCTTGTAGATCATAAAAAATGACATAAGACTCGTCCTAAGAGGGAGGTACATAGTACACATAATTAAAAATAAAAACGAAACAAACATAAGTATTTACAAAGTACAAACAGGGACAACTTAAGGCGTACAGACATTCACATATAAAAAAAGTTTAAAAAAATATATCACAGTGCGAGGTATTCAGACAAAGAGTAGAAACATTTTTCAACTAATAATTTTCGTAGTTTACATTTAAAACTAGCAATACTACTGACATTCCTGAGGTTAGCTGAAAGTTTGTTATATATTCTGATGCAGGTGTATTCCGGTGACTTTTCGAACAGCGTCAGTGTGTGTTTTGGAATACTCAGACTCTCACCTGCCCTTGTATTATAATGTGTGTTGATGTTTTTGTTCTGTATAAATTTTGTTTTGTTTGTATGTGCGAAAAGTGCGCACTTATAAATATGAATGCTTGGTAGAGTCATGATGTTTTTACTTCTGAATATATCTCTGCAGGATTCTCTTCTACGAATGTTGAATATCAGTCTGATTATTCTCTTCTGTTGAACAAATGCTCCAGAAATTGAAGTTGCTTGTCCCCAAATTATGATGTTCCTTGATAAATGTGAGTGGACGAGAGCATAATATACATCTAGTAAAGCTGACTCTGATAAGCAAAACTTGAGCTTAAGAATCGCATAATATGATTGGTTCAACTTTTTACACACACTGTCCATGTGTTGTTGCCAACTGAGCTTTGCATCCATTTCTATTCCCAAGAATGTCGTAGTTTTCGATGTCTCATGATTTGCTAGAATAGGGGCGTTTGTATAAAAATGTACAACATCTGACTTTTCAAGGTTTAAAATCAAACGATTTGCTTGGCACCACCCTTTCATTTCACATTTTACTCTATTTATTTTTGCAATAATGTCATTGCGTGTAATTCCACTTACAAGAACTGACGTATCATCCGCATAATTTGTTACAAATCCAGAGAGATGCAAATCACTTATATACAGAATGAATACAAGGGGTGCTAAAACTGAGCCTTGCGCTACTCCAATGTCGATACTGTACGTTGCGGATGTAATTCCGTTAACTTTTGTTTTAAATTTCCTGTCAGACAGGAAAGACACTACCCAATCTAATATAAAACCTCTTAAACCTAAATAAAATAATTTTTCCTCGAGAAGTCCAATGTCAATTGTATCGAAAGTTTTCGATAGGTCAAAAAAGATGCCCGCGATACATTTATTCATATCGAGCTGTTTATATATCTGACATACAAACTCATAAGTAGCTGTCTCTATTGAATGAAGTTTCCTAAATCCATGCTGCGAGCTTGGGATAAGGTTGAATTTTTCAGCATATCCCAAAATTCTTGAATAAATCGCTCTTTCGATTATTTTAGAAAAGATTGACAACAATGTTATGGGGCGGTAATTATCAACTTGAGTAGGATCTCCCTTTTTTGGAACGGAAACTATTATCGCAAGCTTCAGGGATTTAGGAAAATTGCCTTGATAGACAGACATGTTAATTAAAGTTGTGAGAGGACCTGCAATTTCATTTAAAACACTTTTAATAACACGAGTAGTTACACCATCACTACCACACGATTGTTTGTTTGGAAGGTTGGATATGATTAATTTCACCTCTTCATCGGTGACCTCAGTGTAGAACATTGAATGCGCTACTTGAGTTTTAGCTTCTGCTGCTGGTAGTGGGGATACTCCTTTGAAGTGGTGTTGGAGCTTACTTACTACTGTGCTTGAAAAATGTTTCCCAAAAGCGTCAGGCACACTAATCTGTCCCATATCTCCACCGTTGTCATTTTTAAGTGAAATTACTCCAGAGTTCCTTTTACGTCCAAGCTCCTGTTTGACTATTTGCCAGATCTTTTTTGTCTTATTATCAGCTGTTTTAATTTCGTTGCAGTTATATTGCTGCTTGGCCATTGAGATCAGTTTGCGATGTTGCTTTTTTCTTTCAATATACGTTTGCTTCAGATTTATATCTTGCTCGTTCTCTCTTTTAAGTTTGTACAAATTTCGTAGATTGTTGCTCGACTGCTTTAACTCCGGTGTTATCCATGATTTGGGTTTTGTTAAATGTCTGCACGTAATAACTTTCTGAGGACATGTCCTATCGAAATGCCACAGAAAGGTGTCGAGGAATTTTTCGAAAGCATCATCTATATCGGGCTCTTCAATTTTCCAAGATTCTTGAGAGAGACTTAATCGCAGTTCTTCGAGATTACAATCATCAGTTTTCCTTACAGTATAAGATTGGACGGGAGACTTGTTCTTGGAGGCGACAAGGGAAGATAGCGTTAAGATTTGCGCCGCATGGTCGGATATTTGAGGATCTTCTATGGCACATTTCAGATTTTCTGAGTTGATGTTCGTGGTCATGTAATCGATTGAAGTTTTGGACAGACCAGTGGTTTTATTTGATGCTATGCGGGTTGGTCCGTAACAGTAGTTTGTTAGACCGAAGCACTGTAGGATGTCATTGAGTAGTAGACTATTTATTGACGGTTTACGGTAATCGATATTAAGATCTCCACAAAGAACTATGTTATTACTTGTGGTAGCTATTCGATTTAAGAGTGAAGTCAGGTTCTCCTGGAAAATTGTTATGTCTCCTGAGGGAGGCCGATAGACACATATCACTACGAGTTTTTCATTAGAAGGTCCAAAACTTACCTGCAAGCAGCAGCATTCAATGTGCTTTTCTTGTGAATACTCATCTGAGAATAAGATATCTTTAGCCTCAACACCGTGACGAACAAATATGGCACATCCACCATGTTTATATCGATTTCTGCAGAAGCTACTTACAAGTTTGTAGTTCTGAATGTTAGCGACAGCTGCAGCGGTCGTTGTTAGCCATGTTTCGGTGACACAAAGAATATCTGGTGATGCTTCATCTACATACAGTTCTAGGGCGTCATATTTATTCTGGATGCTGCGAACATTTAGATGCACTATTTTTACGTTACGACTCCTTGGCGGATTCCTGATAGAAAATTTGACTGCTGTTCATTAAAAAGTGGCCCTTTTTGTAGCGATGTGGATGGTAAGCTATGTACCTTAGAGGATTCCAAGTTTTCCTCAGTGTTTAGATTTCCAATCAACTTTGTGAATGATGATTTCGGTGCACTTATATTTTGATGTTCGATTTTCGGATGGTGCATACTTCCTACAGTCCCTATATCCCTATGTGTTCTTGTTCCGTTTTGAATTTCACTTTCTATGGAAGATTCACTTGGTCTCTTTAACAGTTTTATGTTATTGCAAATGATGCGTTTACCCTTATAATTCAGTATATTGGACCTCTCCCTGTAGTAGTGATGTAGATTTGGGTTTAGATTAAGAAGTTGAACTCCGTTTTGTGCACAAATTCGGTGCAGCTGGTCATTTATATCTCTTATATTGTTATTTAAAACGGGCCTATGACCTCTCCATTGCGGTACTGCAGCTATTATTACGTTGGTAGCTTTCAGTACTTTTAAAGTTTCTCTGAGAGGTTCACATTGAATGAAACCTTTTGTCAGCGCATCATTAGAACCGCCCATGATGAGTACATAGTCGGACTTCGTGAAATCAGTTGTTAGTTTTCGTGCATCTTTGATAACATTGTTCAGTTGGGAATTGGGATGTAACATCGATGTAACCGCAAACTGATCCAAAGGAAGAACTCTTCGAGGTATATGTATCAGATTCCGCCCTTGCTCATCTGCGAGGATTAATAGCTTACACCTCTTGTCTTCTGTAGTATTTGCTCACGTTGTAGTGAAAATATCTATAGTAGCATGTTAGCAGTGTTGATTGGCTCACCATTTGAGATAGATTCCTTATTATAAAAATTATTTTGCTTAATTTTCTTGAAAATTCATATACATGATATTCATATGGCATTTGCTTATCAAGATGGATACCAGGAAATTTGACAGTCCTATTACTACTAGTTGTTTGGGTACGGCTATTTTTTATTAAAAGTTTAGCTCTTTTGTTTCATCACCATTTAAATTAAATCAATTTATCAAGGACCACAATTTAATGTTTTGCTCGCTGTTGTAGGTTTTAGCTGGTATCTGATTGGGTCGTTCTGAGGGGGGTTCTAGAATCTGTCGTGCGACACTGGAAATTAATTTTTGTGATTCTTATGCATACAAAATAATTTTTTAATGAGGATTACAGTTCTCATCTCATTTATTGAATTATAAATAGTACTATACCTAGTATAGAACCCTTAGGAGCACCATAATGTATCAAGTATAATGCAGGCGTATTTACATTCAATAACACATATTGCTATACCTGTAAAATATGATTTAATCAGCTTGATGCTGCTTATGCTGAAGCCATATGCTTCTAATTTATTCTAATTTATTGGTACATGATAACGACTTTCATGCATTGTTCACAAAAATATATCACTTGAATATATAAGTTATGTCTATTTAGTTCGCTACACAGTAAAGGACATATCTCATTCAAAGTTAAAAAAATATGCTGAAGTAAAAAGCATATAGAATATAGGCTGCCAGAACACGAAAAAAATTGGAAGGTTCACTTAAATACATCCCATCTACCTCCAACCCACACTTAAAACGAAACTTTGGTAGTGTCTCCTAAGGTTTTAGTTTTTGAGATAGACCCTTATGCAGACATACGCAAAAGAACATTAATAAAATATACCATAGCATTTTAATTATTAGTGGCTGAGTATAACTCAGTCGAGTCAATGTACAGAAACGCTCAATTTTGCCAGCCTTGTTGCTTTTACACTAGAATATTAATGACTGAATTCTATTATCCAGAACTCACAACTTCACCTGCCCAGAAAATAAAATAATGGAAAGCATTGCATATTGCCGGTGGCTCATACTGGCCCATTGTACGGAATAAACATAAAATCCGTCAACTCACCATCTCTGCAAAAGCTCCATGTCAGGATTACCGAAGAACCCTCCAATATCAGCTCCACAAAAACTGATGCCTCCAAGAGCTTCGGAGGCGCACATCGCGTAACTTATGGCCAAATGAGACCAATCGGCAGCATTGTCCCCAGTCCACATCGCGGTGTATCTCTGACTTCCAGCAAAGTGACCTCGTGTTAGGATGAAAGGTCTACGCGTGGGGGAACGCTCGACAAGGCCTTTAAACGTACCGATAGTCTGAAATTTATAAATCGGCATGTTAACCACTACAACTTGAATAATACAATGGTTAAACGAACTATAAATTAGGAAATATAAGATTATTACGGCTTTGCTGTTAACTGGGAGTTAACTCTTAAAAAACAATTTCAGTGTCAGGTAGATGATCTTGACCAGAACCAGTGGATCGTTTATGGGCTAGCTAAAGAATTGCACAACTGCAATGTCTAATATTTTACTTGACATTACAATGACATGAAATGTCACGAGTCACAAACACCGAGTGTATTTACATTAATAATAGGTTAGTTAACTGGAACTTGGAAAACGAATTACAGCATCACTGTTACAAATATAGTATGATTACTTTTTATTTACAGATCTTCCCTATAGAAATACAGATCGTAAAGGAATAATAGAAATAAATAAACTGAATTCTACTTTCTATAGTCTGATGGATTATACATATGGATTAGCGCGCAAAATTGACTAGTGTCATGAGAATATTAAGGGCTTACATGACAAATATTAATTAAGTTTGAATGTTGGTTTGCAAGGACAAGGAATAAATCGTAAATTACGTGATTGTTTCAATGGTTTCTATTTAGGGAAATATAAAAGGCAAGCATAATATCATAGGTTCGAAGCTGCCAGAAGCATATTACCCTCAGTGCGTCTCAAGTGTACTTCATTGGCACCACCAAAAATTTTCAACTACTAGTTGACTCATTCTTGCCATTTTTAGGTACACCAACTATAATAATAAGGGCTAATATCCCGATTGTAGAATGCAAGCAAGTTATGTCAAGAAACAGATATATACATGGGTTTCTTAAAAGATAAAAATATTATTTTTCATAATGTACATAACTTCATAATGACCTGCATGATGATGCATACTTAAAAGCAATACATTACAAATTATTAACAATAATACTCAGTATTTATCAAGGATGTTATTGAAATAAATGATTATTTGTGCTTGAATAAACGAATTTCTTAAACAAGTAGGTACATCATATGGCAATTTGTTTCAGTAGAAATCACAAATGACATTCAAACTCAATTTTCCTCACTTATTTGATCAGACATTTGCCAACTGGGAGTTCTACAAAGTTAATTAGGGTTAAGTAGGGTAAAGAGGAAATTTGTGGGTGGTAAAAGTTGAGGTAACGACTTTATGAAAGTTCTGAGAATACAGTTAGAGGTGATATTTATCACACTTCATTGTCAGAGTACCCAAAAAAGAGTTTTTTCATGACAATATTGTACTTACGTGAGACAAAGCATATTCATTATGTATGTCTCTGTGTTCCCAATTGCCATGATGAATGCAGTCCTTGGGCATTGTAATTTCAGGACCATTGAACACTGATGGTTCATTCATGTCATTCCAAATATAGACATCATCCGTAGTGCCTTTGAACTTGTCGAACGCGTACAGACCTTTATAATAGTCAACCACCTTTGGATCGTAAAAGTCCAAGTAGCTGCTTGATCCGGGCCAACACCATCCTGAAAACAAACAAAAGAATTTCACTCCAGTACTATCGTATTTACTAATGCAAGACTTAAACGATTGGCATTATTATGTTGTCACATAGTGAAAACAATGCAATACCTTAAAAATGTGACTTGTGGTATGGCATTGCAGTGTGGTTTTAATGTTAATACGACTCCATTGTCCGGACGCTAATTCAAACCACATATGTTTTAATTACTGTGGGTGTGGGCGATTCAACATGGAAGAACGGTGGGTATCGGCGATTGAAAATTGAAGAGTAGAGGGAGAGTAGCCTGCAAAGTGAAAAAGACGTTCCAATTTATTTAACTCGGATATATCAAGGGGATCGGAACCTCAGGAGGTCTTCCCTGGATCCGCCACTGATGACAGTATATTTTGTTTATATTTCTTCCAGGTGACAGTTCATTCATTTCTTTTCTTCATTTCTATACACTGTGTTGCGACAATAGCCTGATTGGTCCTGTACCACACTGACATCGTGCGGGATCATCATTACAATTTCAAGATGGCATTGCATAAAAACCCCAGTTCGTAAAGAATGTCCAGCCCCTCGAAGCTATAAGCGATTATGTGTCTTTGCTTTGCTTATTTTGGATGACATGGGGGGTAGGGGAGTCTAGATGATGATTACGTCATCGGTAGTTATTTACATTTTTACACGAATGGCAACCCTCACATAGTCTTTGCTTGAAAACGAAACGCATTTTCGGGGATTCCCGCAAATAATGCATACGTTTAGTGAACAGCGCGCGGTAATTCCCCTACTCGGTTCTAACGCGTCTAAATTTCCTCTATTAGTGTATTGTTTCGTTTGGATACTTTAGCGAGTAGACGTATTGTAAGCATAGTAAAGCAAGTTAACATTTGTGTTACCATTGATTCCATTAGCCAAAGTTTAATGTTTAAATAAGATGTCGTTTCACATAGACAAATCCAAGTTATACCAAAAATTGTTTGAAAGTTTTAAAAAATCTCATACAAGTACGAACGTACAAAAGTTAGTTAACGAAGTTTGGCGAAATTACAAATTACAAGCAAAATCCGACAAGGAACTAGATATTATTGTATCTAAGAGAATTGAAGAAGAATTGCAAGCGGCGACTAAGAATAAATCCAATCTACTAAATTTTTTTTCTAAGGTGAGTAACGAAATCATTTTAGGTACCTATGAGTACTAGAAATATTAGAAATCGCCAAAAAGTTTCTCTTTACTGATTAGAAAATATTATGGCCTATCTCAAAGTTTAGAGGTAATATTCATTATATTATAGATTTATTTCTTATGATTGATTCCGTCAATTGATCACAAAGTACAGGATGTTAGTTTTATACATATATACAGAAAACTAACACCCTGTATTTTGTGACCGGAACGAATTGCGCGTTTAAACATATTAGATTTAAAGCCATAGGGTTTTGTATTTACCATATATATTGCCATACTTTGTATTTATGTAGCTTAATGAGAGCATCTTTAGCAGAAGCCATAGAAAGTTTTTATTTTTAGGAAACCTGTAAACCTGCAGAAAAAACACAAATTATACAGTCAGCTTCAAATATTAAAAAAGAGGAAGAAGATGAAATAAAACCCGGTAATGAATCACAACAGCAATGCGAAATTAATGAAAATACAGATAAATAGAGAGCAAAACCTCCTCAGGAAGCTATGAAAAATAAGATTGCTCTACTCGAAAAAAATCTGAATGCTTTGTATTCTGCCAGAGATACTATGCCAAGCCGTGCTGAAGTTGATAAACAGATCATTAAGTTGCGCGAGGAAATAAAAACAGCAAAACGGTCTTTAAACAGGAAGGTTCAAAACGCAGTTGCCCAGAAGAAACACAGGGATGGTATGAAAAGAAAGTTAGAAGATATTTTTCATGAAAATCCAGAAATAAAAAAAGACTATCTCTCTCTTATTTGGGAGTGCAGCAGATGATAGAAGACGAACGGAATCAATTCGCAGCGTAAAAACTCTTGATGAACTCACTCAAGAATTACGTAAAATAGGATTTGACATTAGTCGCAGTGGGATATATCTTCGTTTGATTCCCAGAAAATCTAATTCTGCAGAGGGACGAAGACATGTATCGACAGTCCCTGTTAAGCTCATTCAGGCTCAAACTGATCACCACAAGAGCCACTTAAATTAATACTGGACCAACATACATCGCTATTCGAAGTGGGAAGCATAGTTCATCAGTAGATATATATAGCAGTAGCTAATACTCATGCTCAGGATTTCGAGACGCTTCTCGAACTTGAAGAGTTTCGACTATTAGCTAAAATTGACCATGGACTAGTAAAACCAGTGGTAATCATGATGGTTGATGGAGGGCCAGATGAAAATCCACGTTATCAAAAAGTCATAGGGTTTGCTATACAACACTTTAAGCGACATGATCTCGATGCATTGTTTTTAGCTACCAATGCTCCTGGAAGAAGTGCGTATAACAGAGTAGAGCGTAGAATGGCTCATCTTAGTCGGGAACTGGCTGGTTTAATATTGCCTCATGACTATTTTGGGTCTCATTTGGATGAACGTGGGGTTACAATTGATGAACATTCAGAAAGATCTAATATCGAATTTGCAGGGAATGCTGAAGTATGGAGTTCAATGGACATTGATGGCTATAATGTTAATGCAAAATATGTTGGGGCAGGTGAACAAGATCTTCCTGATTTTCCAGACATTAAATGGTATTCAGAACATGTGCGCGAGAGCCAATACTTGCTTCAAATTGTAAAATGTAGAAATACATAACGCTGTCGTCCAAGAAGTGGCCTATTTAGATTACTAGACAATAGGTTTCTTCCACCACCTGTAAAAGTAAAATAAACAGTTGATGGCTTGGTTATGGATGAAGGAGGGCAATTTCTTAATCTTCCAGTGAATTTAGCTCTACGCTTAAGTGATTCACTCAAAGATTTCCTGCAAATGCACTACGATTATTTTTGTCCGACGGTAAAATTGAGGCTATCAAGTCTAACATGCAAAACGTGTGGTCTTTATCATGCTTCCGTCAAGTCACTAAATCGTCACATCGAAAATATCCATAAAAAAGTAAGCACGTACACTGATAGGAAAGTTAGACCTGTAAGAGTCGCTGCTCGTCGTGCTAATGAACTGATGTGCATTATTCAAAATTTAGAGCACCATGATGTTGAATGGCTCGATGAGAACGACGTAGACATTCCAAAATCCGATGAAAGCGAGCAAACTCACAACACTGAGCAGCAATCGAAGCAATCCAATGTCATCGAAAACAGAATCATGGACTGAAGACTGTTAATTTGAATTTAATATATGTAGCAAAAATTTAAAATAAGTTTGTTATGTTAGTAAGATATAATATTGTTGTCCTTTACTCTATGTTGAATACCATATCAGTAAAATATAATCTCTATCCTAAATCTATTTTCTTATTTTTTAAATTATAATTATAACGTTATAATTATAATATTATAAAAATAATACATTAATTGACAAATGTTTACGTAAGCATGGGGGGAGGGGGTAAGAGCTTTGCTTACTTTTGCTGACAAGGGGGATGGGGGAGTAAATAATTGTAATAAATCTGCTTACGTAATACTTGAACGGCCCCAAACGCTTGTTTGGTTTAGGTATTCTCGTTGATGTACGAACGCTACAAGTTCAATCCCGTTGGCACATCTTGGCATCAGTGCTTTTTTCAATGTTACCAACCTACTCTCGATTGAGAGAGATGGCCGTCTGAGAGTTACAGAATGATTTCTGTCTACGTCAAGTGGGCAGCTTCAACTAGCAAAGAAACCCAATGCAGACTGTATCTATTCGATAATAATAATGCCATATTCGTATCATCTGTATACTACCTTAACTGGAGGACAGTTTGCTTTATTTATTGACATTATAACAGTGGCGAAGCGTCCATGTAACCACTGTTACCATTAGTAACAGTTAACAATCTTAAAAATAAATATTTTATGACTAAATACTGTGAAATAAGTTCATTTATTTGTTAACCAACAGCAATACGTAATAGTAATTCAGTACATAGCAAATTAGCCCCACGAAAATTATTGCGCCCATTAGTGTCTAGATTTTGCGAACACGATGAAGCTGACTCGCCTCGACTTGGTTGTCGGTTGTTACCATTTTCATTTATGGATACCCTTGGTAGTCCGTCGGGGACCGTCGGTACCGGCTCGTGTCTTATCGCGGTCGCACGAGTGCGTGGGGCGCTGCGACTATTATGTGGGCTTGTTACCATTTTTTGATTGGGTTACTCACTTCTCACTCGTTAGTAGCCGTTTTGGTTGATGGCTGTAGTGCGCGTGCAATTAAACATGGATCAACTACTTGAAACGTGATTCTCCTTGTATAATTTTTAAGAAAAAAGGAGATCAGTGAAAATGGAAGACCAACAACTATTTCTGAAAATTTTGAAAAGGAATAAAACAACGTAGTTTGATATTTTAAATTAAGTTGGTATATGGAAACACTTGGTTATGTGGTTGCAAAGAAACAAATTGTAGTGTTGGCGATGTCTTCTGTTTTCTACAGAAAAAAATGGGTGGACCAGCAGTAGAGTCAACGATTTAAATAGTTCTGGGCTCTAAAGAGGAGACATGAAATTTCTCCGTTACATGTGAGATATGTTGGCAAAACAGGAATTACCGTTCATTTTGAAGAGGATGACTCTGACAATAGAGGAAATTACAGGGAATTGTTAACATTCATTGCCAGAAAAGATCAAAAATTTTCCGAAGATCTAGAAAGGTCGACTGTTTTTTCGGACGGCTTGGATTAGACATAGCATAAGACATTGAGGTATATCAAGTGCCCCAGACGCTCAGTCCAGGAATGTTTACCATAATTTAAAAATAGTTTAAATAAAATACCTAAGTTATATTTGGGAGGTTCAAAATAAACTTTTTTAGTAAGATTTTTCATATCTGGTTTTGGTAACAGTTTAGGAAAAGTCACGCGTCGCCACTGCATTATAATTAGTTAGAGAGTCAGTGTTGCATTATTATCATAACATGTAACTTTGTGTCAGTCTTGCAAGTAGAAATAGCTCATTATTGTTACTTACTTTTGCTGCATTACTTAACTTTTTTTTCATTTAATTTATTCATACATTCACGGTACAAGCCCAATTTTACAATTTTATTCAATTTTAATTAATGAGCTAATTAAATTTACTAAACATGAATAAGTTTAAAATTAATGTCAACATAAACATAATTTAATACAGTCAAAGTATTAAGAATAAAGTACAATGCAATCCGAAATAACATATACATATAAAAGGTTAGGTAACATTTTTTAAGGTTTGTTTCAGGGAATTATGGGATATATGAAAAATATCGCCCTGAAATTTGTTTGAATTTTTCAACATATTATTTAGGGGCGAGTGTTGACAATATAACGTGTGATCTATAAGGCACTGACAACAATGGTTGCAGCATGTCCTCCAAATTATACACATCCTGTTTTCTCAGACGGTATAGTTTTACAATTTTTTTACAAACTCTGAGAATTTACAGGGGTTATCGGCCTCAAATCTCAAAATTTCCAATACTTCTGATTAAATTAACGCTAGTAAACTGGTATGTCACTATTTCCTGGAAATTTATTGAAAAACTACCACAACATCATATCAGAAACACCTAACCCTCGACAACGACAAGCAAAGCACCAACCACTTAGTAGCCGTTTTGAAGTCGACAAGTGATTTTCAAAAACGCTAAGCGTGAGACGAACGGGAATACCATATTTTTAGTATATGATGTCAGATTCGCTGAGCGACTTGAAGAACAAGAATACCGGCTCAGAACTGTTCTCGCGACATACTGAAACGTAGTAGTATAAACACTTGAAACATAAATGGTTTGATTAGCCGCCAAACAATGGAGTCCAAACTGAAAATATTTAATTATATTCATTGTCTCTGCTTTTTGAATTGCTTTTTGTCATATTTATGCTGTTCGGAAAGCATTATTATCTGGATGAAATTTTCACAGATGGTTACTATGATGACAAGAAAGATGTTGGTTCCGATGGCTGGTCCAGAGACTGCCGGAGCGAAAAACGTAATAACACAGACTGACTGATAATCTCAAATGTTACCTTCATATACTGTGCCATCCTTATTCTTTACGTAATAATCGTTAGCAACAGCATCCTCATGCAAGAAGTACCCAGCTTCCCTTTTGATATGAGGATCAATAATGACCACCAGCTTCCTGCCAGTGGAGGTCAAGTTGTTGACCATTTCATCAGGGTTAGGAAACTTGACTGGATCCCAGGTAAAGTACTTCTTGCCATCTGTGTACTCTATGTCCAACCACATGATGTCTACTGGCATGTCATGGATGTCAAAGTTTGCTACTACACTGGTGACATCATCTTGATCATTGTAGTTCCAACGGCATTGATGGTATGCTAGTGTGAAGTACTGAGGAAGTGGAGCTACACCTGGAATTAACATTCAAAGATTTCATAACAAAATGAAAATCAGTTTTTACTTTCAAAATGGTAAATCTAATTTTACCCAATGAGATCAATAGGAACAAGGTTTTTGAATTCAATGTTCTTCTACCAACTGATACCCCAAAATTATTAATGACTCTTCATCTCTGTTTTTAAGTCACATTACATTTATTTTAATTAAATTGCGAGAAAAGCATATTGCTTATTGGAATCTTACAGTTGTTTTGAATATACAACTCAGCATAAAATGTAAATGGCAATACTAGCTAGGTATCACTGACTGGCAAAACTAGATATATGGTGTGAGAAATGGACCCCATCCTCTGCTTTATCGCTGCATAGTGCTGAACAAACAGTACCAAGGCAGTGTTGCCATTGACACTGATTTATATTATAATACTAAAGTTGAATAATCCTAGCGATTAGAAACTGTATATAAGTATGTGTGTTACAATTGAAAAGTACTTACCTGTGAGTGAAGCATATTGTTTGACAGCATCCCTAGGTTTGGGACCCATCAAAACAAACATATCCATTATTCCACTTTCACTTATGAAATGGGCACTGACGCTGCTTTCTTTTGAGCCAGATACCAAATTCACCAATGAGGACATGACATTCTCATCCTGCCAAAATATTAATTATTCTAACGACCTTTTTTATGTATAAATTGATACAAGGAAGAAATAGTAGTACATTACATACCTGGTTTGAGGACTACGCCATTATTGGGAAAGTAGTATTATAACATGAAGTGCACAGCATCGGAGGAGGTACTATGGGATATGAATAATGGCCTTCTCAAATGAGGCATATCACAATATTATATTTTATATCACGATTATGAGGTTTCCAACTTAATTTACAAATGCTTTGAAATATTCAATTGCCTGTGATCAAACTAACAAACTGACCGAATGCAACAAGCACCTGATTAAGACTAGTCGATTTTAAAGCAGAGTAAAATGCAAATGGTTGGTTTCCTTCTGTTTATATTAAAATATAAATCGATTTTCCAATGTTATGCTGATGATTGGGGTGAAAAGACATCAGTGGAGGATAGGGGTCAATAATGGTGATTTTTTGGTCCCTATCAGCCAATATGAAATGTGTTATATTTCACGTGAAATCTTCCGCAAAGATTTGTTGTTAAATTTATCTTCTTGCATTGATGTTGTTCAAAGTCAATAATTAATTTGACAATTGATTTATGTACAAATTTGAGATGCATAAGTTGTGATATGGCCTTTAGACAAGAATACAATCAATACAGAGATCATTTTTACCTTACTGTTAGTGATATCAATCCAGGTTTCAGCTGCATTATGCCAAAAGAACCCTACTGTGTGCTTTGGTGAATGTGCATATAGCACAGGTACTGCCCCATATATTGCCATGGGAGAGTCAACCTCATATTCAAACACATCTAGATTGTAAAGCCTATATGGCTCCCCACCATTAGTAGTTCTCAAGGGTAACTTATCAGCATGCTCAGGCAGTCCATATGCTCTCATCGCTCCTGGGAAGGTGATGTCCACTGCTATGCCAGATGGTCCTTTTGGTTTGCTGTCATGGTGAGATTTGAAGTTCTCCTCCCATGCTCCTGGATCTTCTATTTTCTGATGTTCTACTTCATTCTCACTTTCTGTTGGTCTTGTTCTGAAATAAAAAATGATATACAGTGCATTACCCATACTCATATGCATCCAGATTTGATATTCCTATGCACATATTTATAGAGCTGTATTAAGTTGAACACTCTTTCCAGAAATCGTGGTTAGAGCAAGCTTAGTTCCTGGATCCCAGTATAAGCTCAAACACATGAAAGCTCAGAAACTATGCAATGATAATGAGGTTACAGATAGGAAAAGCAGATTAAAATACATATTGGAGATATTGTTATTTTGATGTACTTATAAAATATATATTAGATTTAACCTTCAATTAATATATTTGACCAGTAGATTTCCAACCCTATTGGAGGATGTGCCTGCATAAAAATAAGCATATATACTGTAGTAAAGCCAACCACATAATCATACCTGTTGTCCACCATCTATAGGTCTCAGGTTGTGGGATGTTCTTTTCCATCACTGATATTATTACAAAACCATAGGAACAGTTACAAGGGGGATTGAGGGGTGATCTTTCCTTGGAAGGTTGGTGTCATGTTTAACAATAAACAATTTTCTTTAGAAGGACAATGATTACTACTATTACTTCTAAGTAAATTACTATGAACCATCATGGCATCATTGCTGTTGAGATAAAAATGTAAGTGAATGTCTAGATACAGAAGTTTTTTCATGTAGATCTGATAATTTTTTGCAGCTTTTATAGGAAAAGTGAAGATATAGTTGTAAGACTACCAGTATCCCTTATATATCTTTATCTCCCAAATACATACACATGCAACCTACCCCTGAATGTTTGATCGGTAAGCTCAATGACATACATTTTTTAGTTGTGTGTTTCCATCTTGATAACTTTGTCATTATGTATGAGTGCCCTTCAATCATATTTGTCAGAGTGACAACTTACTTGACATCTGCCTGCAATCTGGGTTGTCCTGTTATCAATCTTCAATATAAAATTCTACAATGCCCAGAAATACCATCAATGGAGAAGACTGACAGCTTGTGCTAAATTTATTAGAGTATTTCCAGGAATAGAATGAAAACAGCGGTCCCCTATCATCCACTTCATGCGAACTGGAGAAACTAGCAGATGTGCTCAAGACTAGTATGCACCCATGGTACAGAGACTCAATCTGTTTACTTATTTCATATGATGTAACTGCCAAGAATGGTGACTACAACTATATCTTGATGACAGTCAGAGAAAATAATTGATAGTATCACTGCTGAGCTTATGAGCTGATTACTGATCAACTGGTTTGAATGAAGTTATTTTTATATTCACTTAGGTAGTATTGGGACTCTATGGTTGAGTTAAAAAATACCATTATAAAACCACTCCTATGATTTTATTCTCAAAATATTAATGACTTATCCACTCCTTGTGTTGTATGTTGCACGTATAATGTGAAGGAATCAAATAAAGAATAAAGGTAATTTATTACCTTTGTATTGTATAAGAAACAACCTAAAATATTTGGAGGCTTCATTAATTAATTAAGATATGCAGGGTAGTCACAGAGAGGAGAAGAGGAGCAAAACATTGTACTGTTTGGTTCAAGCAGAATTACACATACAAATTAAGTGTATAGTTTCTATTCACATGACTTTGTTATTTATACTACAACTATTGATTCTCAATAGGTTGCAACATTTGGATATGACTACCATATACAAAAGGAATTGTATTTGATGAATTATCAGTGTGGTTATCAGTATGGATATGTTTTCACTGTTCAATATATATTTAAAATATTTACCTGTAATGCTCAAAGTGGAAAAGTCCTCTACTATTCAAAACCGCTACCAGATTGTCATCCTTGACAAATTCTACCTTGAACGGTTTGGCATGCAAAGTTGCCTTGTTATCAGAGTACTGAACAGTGATATGTTCTTTGGACTTGTCAACCACTCTGAGTTTTGCTGGCTGAGGCTCTCCATTCAATGCATACTGAGGATTATAACGGGGATACAACCCCATTACCTCATCTACTTGGATACGGAAAATATCACCATGCACTGCAGAGAGGGATACCTTGAAGTGAGAGTTGGTTTCAGTGTTTATGAGTTTGGTCTCCAGAGCATTGTCTGTGACTAGTAGATCGGTCAAATCAAGTTGATATGGGCTCACTTCAGCTTTAAAACCCCTCAAACGTCTGCAAATAGATAGTCAATAGTTAGACTAGTGAATGAGAAGGTGAACTTGGATGTCATTACCTGCAAAAACTACTTTGTTCGCATGTTTTGAAGTTCTCTTTGACTACAGCCAACGAGCAAGATGCTACGTATAAAATTGGAATAACCCTGTAGAGGAGAAGGAAATCAAATATTATTTAGGTAATTAAACTCAGAATTATTACAACTTAGTATAAAATAGGAAAATACAGACCTTAGGAAAGCCATGTTGGCACCCACAAAACGAATACTTGGCACCGGCCCTCGAAAAGTGAGGTTATAGTCTACTTATAACCAAATCATCTGAGCGGTAAAGTTTATGTTCTGTGTCATATTAAGTGATGGGTTTCATTAATCAAATTCAAGCGGATAACCAAATGGAAATGGTATTTACCATTTTGGGTTGGTATTTACCAATCCGTTCAAGCGAGTGTAGTTATCAGTTTGGTTATAAGATCCGTGACGTCACGAATCAGCTGTTATATGTCATAGTTATCACCGCAAAATTGTGATATTTACCCAACTCAAGAGTAGTTTTATATTTCTGGTTATTATTTGAAATGTGACAAGTTAGAATTTTGCCGGGTATTGGATATTGTTATTGTACTTCAGCTTCATTTTTGAGAAAAATGATACAGGCTGACTTCAGTTTTACCATAAAGTGGAGCACCTTATCGGTTATACTCATTACGGTTGTTGGGGACACTTTAAATGTAGTTTCTATGCTTAACAAAGTATCCTGTGTAGCCATATACCACAAGAATATTAAAATATGGCCATATAAACTCACTAGATGATATCCACCTGTATACGGTTTTGCTAATTTCTTTTTTCATCATTTCTGCTGAATCAATAAATGTTTTCTTTGACATGCGAAAAAATTTAGAGAATTGAAAGTTATCATAGCTACAAAGCCATGGTTACATCATTAAAAAAAAATCTGAAAAAAACATTTTTTCATGAATATTATGAAAGGTTTCCTATTTAAACTTTCCATATACAGTTATAGACGAAAAAGCACCGATTATTAAGTTATAATAAAAATAATCAGAGATTATATACGCGCTTTTCTAAAATAAACAACTTGCAACAAAACCGCGGTTAAAACCAACGCGTTCAAGCGATTCGTGTAACTGACGTCATCAACCCGTATGTCATCTTGAACCATATTATAACCGCGGCACATAACACAGAAATTTTGGTTATTCGCTTGGATTTGATTATTGTTCATTGATTCGATAGTGAATAGCAAGTTTTGATTTTTTTTCACAAATGAGTCTTCTGATTTTGATTCCAAAGACCGCCCGCTACTCTGTCTAGGGCATTTTTCAGGAGACATAAAAGATTGCTACTGGCCCCTAAAAAAATCAAAGGTTTCTTTTATCCAGAAATTGGTAGGTGGTAACACAATGTTTGATTCTGTTCACGAGAAAACATGTCTACAATAGTTTTTTAGAAAATCCTTGGATTCTCATGTTTTCAAAATCATTTGGGTTGTATGGGGTTTTGCTTCAGAATGTACATACGCTTGTAAGGTTTACATTCTGTGACACTAGCTTGAGAGCAAAAATAAGATGAGAGCTATTATAGTGCTTATAATTATTCTAATTCTCAAACGACCAATAAACGACAAACGATATTACCTTCCTCAATGTCACCTATACTATTCGACAGAGCGGTTCGGTGGACCTTTGCTCTTAGTTAAAAGTCTCGTCGGTCTGTTAGTCTGTCAGGTCTGGTTACCCAGATACCAAACATGTTTAAGGGGAAAAGGGAAAGAAATGAAGGAAGAAATAAAGCAAAGAAAAGAAGTAAATCATTTGAAATAGCTTAAGCATTATTTTGTAGCTCCAAAAAATAATTTTGATCGTTTTGTATACTGAAATAATTTTGGCTGGTCTGAATTTACACTTTAATTTTGATCACAGTGCGAGGCGTGGCCAGGAATGTTTACGATCTCAATGTCACCTATCCTATACGTTCCTTCCACTTTCTTTTTCCACCATCGCATTTATATTTCTTTTACATTTTAGATGTAGGTACCTTTGTCTAATTCTGTTTGATACCTAGATATGTTCCTTTGATATGTTTGCATTTCAATAAGATCTTCCCTGACTGGTTAAGATTTTAATGTGTGTAAAAAAATGTAATCCGAAGGTACCACGTGGTTTGTATAAAAGTGCATCCAAACATACAACAGTTGAATCTACATCTAATGGATACTCGTGAAATAGGGCACCTATATCGTCGAGGTCAGATAAATGGCAACCATGTCAAATACACACCGACACACATCGATCAAATAAGCAATTTCTAACGGAATGTCTATTGCTATCTTGTTTTCGGAAAATAAAAGCCCACTCATAGTACTTCTTCCAGTTAAAAATATCTTTGTGTGTGTCGTCATGACTCATGTATGGTTTGTTCCCTTTTCTTCAAGCACATCTTGTAATTGTTCTCCAGTTAGACGGAACATTTACCTTGCCGACTCTTTCAAATTCGACTTACAACTAACTAGATACCTCAACTAACCAGCGAAGGCGACATTCAAGTAGATTTAAGAAATAATGAAAGAACTGGATATCTCAAGTTGTGAGGTTATATTTATTATTATTGACGTTGGAACTTTAATGCAACGACTAGGTACCTTGTTAACTACTTTCTGCAACTTGATTTAGATACTTTCTAGTCATTCTAGGAGATATCTAGTTATAGCGTTTAATAGAGAACAAAACGTTTGGCCGGAAATGGTGGATATCTCAAAATAACAAAAAATCAAGTTATCTAGTTGTTAGCATTAATGGGGCGATATTTTGGGTTACATCTTTTATCTTACTCTAATTCATTTGCCTTCTCCAACTGCTTTCTCTTGATAGTCATAGAATATGTGACCAGTGTTATGTGGCATGACCTAGAATCACAGCTCAGACTAAAGGGACCAAAGTGGGTCAGAACATCTTCCCATTACTAAACACTTACCAAATTTAACCAGTGGAAGACCTAAGATATTTATTTATAACAGAAGGATTAAAAGCAACAAAAAGTACCATAAATAATATTAAAAAGAGGCGGCTCTGCAGCCATTTTCGTGAGGCACACTGAATTTAAGCTAGCTGCTGCAAATCTAGATTTATAAAAAGACCTTTTTGACATGTTTATGGCTAAAGAAATATGTACGGGTTTTATACATATTGATCTTTGTATGGTTGGCAAGTATTTGACATTTATTCAGTTTAAATGCTGTGGCGGCATTTTTTATTCATAATTTTTGGTTACCTAAATATATGCTTCATAACTTTCTTCAATATTGTACTACCATTTTCTTACCATAAAAAACTACTTGGAAACATTTACCATGAGTAAATCATATAGGAATATCAGAGTTTACTTGTGGGAGCAATTTTGAAAATTGTTTCTTTATTACAATAATTACTTTTCACTCTTTAACATTTTCAAATTCCAATTATAGCTATAATAACAGTCATTATCATTGAACATGATTTTAATCATATAATCACTGTAACACCATGATCCAAAATATATCTATATACAAATATCACCTCTGCAAACAAATCACTAGATGCAATTTTCCAAAAAGCTTTTAAGTGACTTTCTTTTCAATATCTAAGATGTTAAAACTATTCTTAATAAATTAATTATTTCTTCAAAGCCTTATCAATCCACTGATTCAATTTGTCTTCATCCTGGAGTCCAACTAATCTTTCCTTTACTTTTCCATTTTCAAAAACCACTAATGCAGGGATTGTACTGACCTAAAAATTGAATAATTAATATGGTAGAAATCGTTAGTGCAATGTGCTATCGGAAATAAGCGGTAAGAAGTTAAATATTATTTGTTCGGCATTCCTTTTGTAATTCAACGGTAATACCGATTATATATTTAAAAAAAATGGCTCAAATTCATTGTCAAACCGATTTTTAATGTAAAATAGGGTGGTCGGATAATAGGAACTGAAAATCATTGCTCTCCCTTTTTTCGACTGGGTGATCGAAAACAGGGTAATGAGAATATGTTTTTTGTATCTTTTTCTATTTTATGGGTTTCAAAGATGCTGTTTCACTCTGGTATATATTAACTGTCTATTTATACTGAATGTTTGGACCAGTTGTCGACCATGAATATGGCGTCCCTTCGTTTTATTTTAAGGACGTGGTCGAGATTAAGCCTGCTTCCGACCACCTGCTTATTACCCTGTATTCGGTTCTAAAACAGATATTTATCCACAGAAATGCCATCTAGGAAGAGGAAGAGGAATTGAAAAAATTAAAAATAAAAAAACGCAGAGAAAAAAGACATTTTTTTAAATATACAGAAGATGTTCGTCAAGAAGCACTGACTGAAATTCAGGCGGAAAATTTAAGCATTAATAAAGTTAGTCAACAATTCAATGTTCCTAAAACTACAACCGTAGATCGAATGAAGGAGAGATCAACGAGGAGTAAACAAAAAACTGGTCTTGAGTCTCTTCTTGGCTATAATGTGGAAAATAAGATAAAAGAATTGCCAAATGTGTAATTTCCCTAAAAAAAAACAGACCTTTTGTAAACCATTGAGAAAGTGGCAAAGGATTTAGGGAAAGATACATTGTTCAAGGACGGAATACCAGGACAAAAGTAGTATCTCAATTTTTTGAAAAGTCACCCAGAATTCAGCTTAAGAGAAGCTGAAAGTGTAAATAAAGCTGGCACAATTATTACTGAACTATGTATGAGCATGGTTTCGAGATTTAAAGGAATTATGGAGAATCCAAGAAGAATTTTCAACACTGATGAGTCTGGTTTTTCAGTTTGTCCAAAAACGGGGAAGGTATTGGCTCCCGGGGGCTACAAAAATCTGTACAAATTGGGCCAAGAAAAAGATAATATAACTGTTCTTATAACATTTTCTGCAGATGGGAAAATAGCACCTCCATTTCCTTATGTTAGACCACCTAGAGCCCTAGTAGAAAATATGCCTGATCAGTGGATTCTGGGAAGGTCGGATAGTGGTTGGATAAAAGGTGACGTATTTTTTGAGTATATCGCGAATGATTTCAACAAGTGGCTAGAAGAAAATCAAATCCCAAAGCCAATTATTCTCTTCTTAGATGGGCCTAGGTCACACGTGACTTTGCCTCTGAGTGAGTTCTGCGAAAAGAACCAAATAATTCTTTACGCGCTTCCCCCAAATATAACCCCCATATTACAACCTACCGACGTCAGCGTTTTTAGGCAATTAAAAACGGAATGGAAGAAAACAGTAAGAAAATGGCAACGCTTCCAGAAAATATCAATGCCACAGTTAACAAATTTGATTTTTGTAAAGTGTTTCAAACAACTTTGGACAATTATGAAATGGAAAACAACATTGTTAATGGATTTAGGAAATGTGGCATTTACCCTTTGAATCCGGACAACGTAGATTATTCCAAATGCGTTCAAAATTTCATTGAACAACAAAATGCCTGTAATGCTAAAAAAACTGGTATAATATCAAATGAGAAGCTCAGAGCTGCAGAAAAAGTTGTTGTTAGTATGAGAGACAGACTATCGCTTAAAGGAATTGATGCAGACATAGTTTTAAATGAAATAAAATGTTATGAAAATGAGAACAATCGGAGGCTAGACGTGAGCAGCATAATTCCATTAGACAATGCAGTCATTATACCTTATGAAAACATCTATGTCCTTCAGGAAGATGCAAATAAGGAGAATATTTATCCACAAGATAAATCAATAGCGCCGAAAATTCCGAAGTGCTCATCACCAATCTCAGAAGAAGATCCGGTTGAGAAGAATATTTATCCAGACGATAAATCAGTAGCGCCGAAGATTTCATAAAGTTCTTCACCAACCTTTGAATCATCTCAGACAAACCAGCAAATTATTATACAAGTCATTATTAAACCTGATGATGAAGCTAATAAATTACCATCACCTAGACCGATTGAGCAAAAGACTTCACAACAAAATCAAGAAACGTCTTTTGAGCAACATCTGAAGTACCCAGAAGTGATAAAAAAAGGAAACAAAAAAAAAAGAAAAAGGAAAATATCCAAGTGCCATATCTTCACCTTCATGGAGGTCGCATTACAATGAAAAAGCTAATGCAAAAAAAAGAAAACCCGAGGAGGCTAAATCGAGAAGGGAAGAAAAATTAAATGCTGAAGAACAAAAAAAATAAAATAAAAAAGAGTGGACAACAATATAAAAGAGTACAGCGTGAAACTAGTGAAAAAATAAGCGAAGATGTACAGGCAAGTAAAATTGAGCCAATCAAGTGTTCCAGTTGCAATGAAGACCTGATCAGTGATATCGAGGATGATTATGAGAAAAACATTGGATGTGATGAATGTCCTAGACTATGGAATGTCATATGAAGAAGCATATACCAAAGATTTTTTTTGTTTTATTTGTTCCTAATTAATCATTTTATTTTAGTTTGAGTTTTTGTTTGTTTAAAGTCTTTTCAATGAGGTTTGTTCTATTTCTTATTTATTCTATGAAATAAATTTCATTTTTTACCATGTTTTAAATTTTTTCTAACTCTATATCAATGAACTATCTACCTAATCATAAGAAAACTCTGGGAGAAACTGATCGGTTTCTCAAAAAGTGTGGTGAAAAACCGATCCGTTTCTCGATCATAGTGGTTGAAAATGGGTATCCATATGGTCAAGATGAAGAAGTAGGTGATAATTTATGTTTTATTTAATTTCATTATGTAAAATTCTCAGGTGGTCTAGTTGAAATAATTTGTTTAGTTCATACTTAGACAAAGTTTCAAGCTTTCTTAAGATGACAAACTGATTCAAGACAAATTATTTTTACGGAATTCTATGGTCTTGGAAGTTGAAGCTTAGGTTGAATGGCACAGTGATCCTACCAAAATTTCTGACTTTGATGTTTATACTCACACAGCACCAGCAAATTGTGCTATGTGTTTATGCTGTTTCTGTGCCTATTTACACAATAAGCTATGTGCTCGAGTCTGGTACAAAACGCAAGACTGTAGCAAACACATTGTATACCACTGCTAACATTGTGTATGTTTGAATATATAAGAGCATTTGGATAGCCAAATTGCAGATATGACCATATTAAACAATTATATGCATTTCAGATCGATATCATGATACAAACCTCATACTTTGCTGCCAATTCTCCCAAATCATCAATGTCAACCTTTGCTACATTAATTTCACCTTTGCGTTTTGCAATTATATTTTCTAGTCTAGGTTCCAAAGCTTTGCATGGGCCACACCATCTGTAAAAATATTGTTTTGTCATATTACTGTAATGTCACTAGTCTAGAATGTTAAACATACTTTTGGGGCCAAAGTATAGAATGGTCAGTTAGCTTAGGGAGTATTTATCATGTTTTTATTGAAATATACATTTTCAGAAAGATAATTCTGATGCACTATTTATACAGCATATAGCAACCTATATTTTTATACGCTCAACTGTTACTTACGTTGCGAAGAAGTCCACAATCACAGGGTCCTTACTATTTTCCACTTTTTCTAGAAAGTCTTTATCATCTTGAACTTTGAAGGAGCCATGCCTTACGTGTGATATTCCTGCACCTCTCTTAACAAGAAGGGACAGACCGTTAAACATCTTTGGAAGAATTACGTTGTTCATTATTTAAATTTTAAAGATTAAGGTTTTAAAAGTCTGTTAAGTAAATCTGCTGATTTGTTCAAAAAGTCCTTGAATGGGGTGATGAAAAATGAATGGTTGAAATTTTCGAAAATTTGACGTTCATAAAGTGTAATACTTGACAACGACAAATGACGTATTGGAAAAGTGATGGAATTTTTAAATCAAATTCAAGCGAATAACCAAATGAAAATGGTATTTATCATTTTGGATTGGTCTATACCGATGTTCAAGTGAGTGTGATTATCAGTTTGGTTATCAGATCCGTGACGTCATGAATCAGCTGTTATATGTCATAGTTATCACCGCAAAATTGTGGTATTTACCCAGAGCCGTATGCTATAAAATTTTATAAAAAAACAAAATGGTGGATTTTAATAAAAGATTTCAACCTTGTAAATCCTACTTCATAGGCTACAGATCAAACGGCTTGATAGATTTTCACATATGAGGTGTCGTTGGATTCGTCTTAGCGGTGCGAGTGACACTAGCTACATTGAATTTTTGTAAAAAACAAAATTGTGGATTTTGATAAAAGATTTCAACCTTGTAATTAATTCCCACTTCATAGGCTACAGATCAAACGGCTTGATAGATTTTCACATATGAGGTGTCGTTGGATTCGTCGTAGCGGTGCGAGTGACACTGGCTACATTAAAATTTTATACAAAACAAAGTGGTGGATTTTAATAAAAGATCTCAACCCTGTAATTCCTATTTCACATGCTATAGCTTAAACGGCTTCTAGCTACACAATAGAGCGTATCGTCTCTTCACTGTAAAAACAAGATAACTCCATTTTTCTACATTACCTATATTTTAGTATGTTCTGTGGAGCAGGATTAACATGTTCATGTCATAATACTGTACTTCATTCATCCTTATTCCACTGAACATCCTAAGTACATGTAAGTGTGAAAATGTACACAACTCGAAAAGCAGAAAAATGGAGTTATCTTCTTTTTGCAGTGAGGTGGCATAACAATAAATGGAAATGACTTAGTCTAAGCAACAATTTTTTTCCATTTCCTTTTACGACTTTTCTGGTCCTTCAAACTCATATTCAGTTCTTTGATCCGGAACAACATCCTTGACCTGAAAAACAGTTTTTTAGCTTTTTCAGGACAGTCAATGTTGCTGCTCTTCAACAGAAGTTTAGCTATAAAATTTTGCTTTTTTGTCACTATTCCGTCCCCATTGAATGTAGTGAATACCTTGTTCAGCTTCTTAATTTGATTCATGAAAGTTGCGGAAGGTTTTGATAATCCACCCTCACTAAGATGGTCTATCCATGAATAAGTTTCATTTGAGGAACTTTTCAACCTCTCATCCTGCAATTCATTGCAAACAAAGCCTGCCAAATTTTCCAGCCCGTCATACTCGAGCTCATCTATTTCTTCCACTAAAACTTGCTGCTACGCTGCAATAGGTACTCTGAGTATGTGCCTTCGTTTCGCCCCAACATATATGACCTTATTCTATACTTAAACTCTACAGGAATTGTATGGCCATGAAGACCATCTTTTGCCCTAATTACACCGAAAAAGTTTTCTATCACATCTTGATTAAAACGTCTTGTTAAACAGGTATTTGACGCTGAAGCGTCGTTTTAGATCCTCTAGAGCAGGGCTGTCCAACTTAATTTGGCCCAAGGGCCACTTCAAAAAAAAAAAAATGCAGTTTGGAGGGCCGCATTATAAAATCTTTCTATACAACATTATTACTGAGTTTTAATAGGTATATGCATATTCGGTACTTGAGAGTAATTTATACTTGTGATGTATACATGACCTGTGAAGCGGGCCGCAAGAAAGGAGTTCGCGGGCCGTATGTTGGACAGCCCTGCTCTAGAGGATTTTCTTGCAAACCCTAGTGCTTTTTACATTGAGTTTGTCTTATCTTTTTGTGAGATGTAGCCATTTTTTTGCTAAAGTTTGGGTCTTGAGGAAAACTGTGGAACTTCATGTCTTTGCAAAGATTCCGTTTACATTGATTGTCGGAATTACATCCCACAACAGCACACCGCATTTTTATCAATTTAATAACCACACAGGGTATATATAAGGTATGTATAACTAATACAACAAGCCACAAAACCACCAAAAAACACCAACAAATCTTACTATATAGTATTAACCACGATACACGTGAACTGCAGTAACGTTACGACAATCCTGCCGCTGGTAACCACGAGCCGATAACTCTCCGGGTGACGTCACGAAGCTCCGCCCACATGCGCAATATCCGATCTTCAGTATATGTGTATCGTGGTATTTACCCAACTTAGGAGAAGTTTTATATTTCTGGTTATTATTTGAAATGTGACAAGCTAGAATATTGTCGGGTATTGGATATTTTTATAGTACTTCAGCTTCATTTTTTGGAAACTTACAGGCTGACTTCAGTTTTAGCATAAAGTAGAGCATCTTATTAGTTATAATCTTTACTGTTGTTGGGGACACTTTAAATCTAGTTCATATGCTTAACAAAGTATCCTGTGTAGCCATATACCACAAGAATATTAAAACATGGCCATATAAACTCACTGGATGATGTCCACCTGTATACGGTTTTGCTAATGTCTTTTTTCATCGCTTTTTCCTATCATTTCTGCTAAATCAATAAATGTTTTCTTCGACATGCGGAAAAGTTTAGAGAATTGAAAGTTATCATAGCTACAAAGTCATGGTTCCATCATTAAAAAATTTTTTACGAAAAAAAAACATTTCTCCCATTAATATTACGAAAGGTTTATTTTTTAAACGTCCCATACACGGTTGTAGACGAAAAAGCACCGATTATTAAGTGATAATAAAAATAATCAGAAATTAAAATAAAATAAACAACTTGCAACAAAACTGCGGTTAAAACCAACGCGTTCTAGCGATTCGAGTAACTGTTGTCATCAACGAATATGTTTGTCATCTTGAACCATCATAACCGCGGTACATAACATGAAAATTTTGGTTATTCCCTTGGATTTGATTTTAATCCATATTGATATATTTGTCCTGCCATCTATGTTTTATATCTTCAAACTAATAGAGGTCATAGAACTATTTAAGAGATTTCTTCTTTAATAGACTGTGGCGCTATCAGTGTTTTAAAAATAAAAAATGTCATCGATTTGAACTACTACAGTTTCCTGCAAGGAGATCTTTATTCTTAAATATAGTTACAGTTCGAGTCACATAACTTTTAATACACGTCATAGGCTTCAAATCACCAGTGATGCCATACATCTTCAAAATTGGTATGTTGTAGGAATTCTCAGCATTCGTCATCTTTCTCATTCTCTCTACATAGCATGTAAGTTGAGAGTGTCGGAAAAATTACGTATTGAGGTAAGTCGGAGATAAGTCGATATTGAAATACTGCGGAACGGAACACATTACAGAAGATAGGCTTTGACAATATGAACTGTCATGTCAAATGGGAAACATCCTGTGCTATCCTAATATCATGTTTCCTGTATTGTGGTATTTTTAACCTCATAGTTGAACGTCAAAATGACGATATGATATTATTTACGACATGCCGTAAACTTGCGAATTCGACAAAATAAGCCTGTGCATAAGCGGCAACCATGTAGACATATTTGTAGTCGGTGAGACATGCCAATATATCTTCTTCATTTTCTAGCACTTTAAATTTATATGACTTGCCATTTTACGTAAGTCGACCACCAATCGTGGCGTTTTGTGACGTGAATAAAAAGATGTGTGATTTCTAGCTTTCTACTATATACCGAAACCAGCAGTTGCCAGTAGCCCATTTTTTACAGATTTCTTTAGCTGTTTTTCGTGCCACCTGTGTTATCTAGTTCTAATTAGCAATTTTTGTAACTCAATTCTCTGCCAATAGAGTCCACCACATATCATTTTCTGCAAGACACAGGGAACTGATACTAATTTTAATATTGATGAGCTCTTATATGGGCGATCGCCGACATTTCTTCCTAGAGCGTCAATCTTTCTAATGTATTACCCCCAAAACGTTTTGAATAGCAAAAATAAAGAACATAGGTAGGTTTTTTGGAAGGCTCAATTTTTCTCGGGTTAGGGGCAAAACCATGAAGTATTTAAATCCGGGCGGGCCTGGATGTATAAAAAACTACTGGGAAGAGTCAGTGAGTGCGAATTTGAGGATGTAGAAACGCCTCTGGTCATATCAACAGATTGAACTCCTTTAAACCCTTTTAGGACTTTTCATCTATCACCTACCACCATAATTTTTCGTTTGGGTTCTGCGATTTTTTAAATTTTTATATGTACCTAATTATACGTTCGTGTGGTTTATCCCAATCCTATTTTAGTTTAACAGGTATGTGATATTTAGGTACAACTTTAGTACAATTAGGCCTAATAACATACAAGAACCTGTTCTCGTTTTCCCGTTTACTTCCACCACTGGTAATTTGTTTGAAAGCCATATTTGATAAAAAGTAACATAATAAATAATAAATAAATAAAAACGCCTTTATTTTAAACTCGGCGAAGGCCAGCTGTGCTGTTAACTTAACCGAGCATGTAAAAAGTAACAACAAGCGAAAAAGAAAAGTAATATGACAAGAAACAAGTTTTACATTCCATTAATTTTAGAATAACAACAAGCGAAAAAGAAAAGTAATATGACAAGAAACAAGTTTTACATTCCATTAATTTTAGAATATTACATAACAACAATGAACAATAATAACTACAGATGTACGTATACAAAGAAAATAAGCAATAATAAACAACTTATACTTCACAGAAGCAGTTGTTTCAGTTTTCGTTTGAACATATTAGGAGACATATCTTCAAATTGACCTATATTGTATTGGTTTAGAAGTTTGACTGATGTATAAGAAAATGAGCTTTGAGTCATGGTTTTAGTTATTTTAGGTATTTCATAAAGTACATTAAAGCGTGTTGCACGAGAGTGAATCAGATTTCTACGAGTTAATTTTTCAAACAGATATGGAGGGCTTTTAGTTTTAATCAATTTATGAAGAAAGCAAGCAAAATGCAGCTTTTCTCCATAGGAAACATTCAACCATTTAAGTTCGGAAAGTTTATGACTGACATGATCGTGACGTGCTGGTAAATAAGCCGTATGCAAGAATTCTGCACTTTTTGGAGTTTATCCTTAGTAAATATATCTAAGCAAGGACCATACACAAAGTTGCAATAGTTAAGGTGACACAAGACCAGTGCTTCGCAGAGAACCTTTTTTAACTTAAAACTAAGAATATCTTTACTTTTGTAAATATTGCGAAGGTTAAAATAGGCTTTTTGTAGAAGCCTAGACACATGACTACGGAATCTAAGCTTGTTATCAAAGATAACGCCCAAATTTTTATATTTTGCTATCACCAAGTTTACAGACGCCCAATCTTTAGCTGGCCCAAAGTAGATTATGGCTGATTTATTAGGATTCAATTTCAAGCCATGATTAAAAGAAAAAACTGAATCCAAACACTCGTATAGCCTCCTAGCCGCTTCAATTGCGTCCGACTTAGCAAAAGAAAGCTGAATCTGTGTATCGTCAGCGTATCCATGATTGTTTATATCACCAAAGCACTTCGACATATCAGCAGTAAAAATGATAAAAAATAATGGGCCCAAAAGTGATCCCTGAGGAACTCCTCTATCCGCGTTCAAGGGTTTTGATTTAAGCCCATCAATTGAGACCGACTGCGATCTGTCATCCAAATAACTAGGAATAAGTTAAATAGTCTTAAGTTTAAATCCATAGTCGAAAAGTTTTGCACACAGCAATGCATGATTCAGGGTATCGAAGGCCTTGCTAAAGTCCAACAACACCAATGCCGAAGTTTTACCCCTGTCCGCAGCCAAAAGAATGTAATCTACAACCTTCAACAGAGCCGTGGTAGTACCAAACCCTTTACGGAATCCAGACTGCAACTTGGTTAATAAATTATTATCTGTGAAATAAGTAATGATTTGCCTATAAATAAGCTTTTCAAATACTTTAGACAGCACTGGTAGTATACTAATTGGTCGCAAATCAGAGACATCCTTAGGACTGCTAATTTTAGGCAGCGGCAGGACCACAGCCGTTCTCCATTGGGTAGGAAAGATGCCCTTTTGTATGCAGGAATTAAATAGGTTAATCAGCACGGGTAAGATCGTTGGACAACACAACCTCACCATGTCAAGGCTAATTCCGTCTGCACCAGAGGCGTTTAACCCAATCTCCGATATTGCCCAGAAAACGTCATCTTCACTAACGAGTTTCAATTCAAATTCTGCGGTTGTACATTTAGAATTAAGATATTTAGAAATAGTATTCGTATCGACAGTGCTAGGTATTTGTCGCACCGAGTCGATAAAATATTGATTAATTAAATTTGGGTTTTTAAGATGGTTAGGAATTTCTATTTTTTTTTTTAGATCTGTTATATATATTAAGTTGGTCTAGTGTCTTCCACATGTCTTTGGATTTTTTAGTACGACTGACAAAATCAATATAAGCTCTCTTTTCTTGTAGAACAGCTGACGTAAAAAAATTCCTCATTTCTTTGTAGGATGCCCAATCCCGTAAATTTTTAGTAGATACGTTTGTATTTATTGAAAAGATAGTTACGGTGATTCTTCATCGCACGCAACGCATCAGTAAACCACGGGGAAGGTGGCCTGGTAACTTTTTTCTCACATATTGGCGCATGAGAATCAAAAAGGGTCAATATAATATCTGAGAGAATTGCAGTCTTCTGGTTAACATTATCACAGTCTACAACCTGCCACCAAGGGAAGTTTATAAGATCTTGTTTGAAGCTATAAATGTCAAAGTGTTTAAAGATACGATATTTAATAACTCTAGGCCTAACGGCAGAGATCTTAATATTTATTGAACAGTGTATGAGCTGATGATCGGAATGCTGATGCAAGTCCTGATGATGGACACTGCCACTTAAGAGATGATCATCGGACAGGATGATGACATCAATCAAACTGGCTGTGTCTCGGGAGTACCTAGTTGGGTTAATTACAACTTGCTTGAAGTTGAAAGTATCAAGCAAATTATTAAACTGACTGTTTATGTTAGTATGTCTTAATAGATTAATATTAATATCCCCCATTATAATCAATTCATCTGTCAATGGAATTAAATTAGCTATTGATTCTTCCTGTTGGCGTAAAGCAGTCATCACATTAAAACGAGGAGGACGGTAAATGATGCCCAACCCCAATTTCATTTTGCCAATTTTGAGGATAAGCCATTGCTGCTCAAAAATTCCCCTCTGGTCCTCAGTTATATCTATTTCAACTACTGTAATATCAGATCGAACATAAACCCCTATTCCACCTCCCCGAGACCCACGATCAACGCGATAAAACTTGAAATTGTTTATTTTAATTTCCTGTTCACTAACTTGTTCAGTTAACCATGATTCAGTTACTCCTAATATGTCCAACTTCAAATTATCTATCGAAGACTTAATTTCGTTGAAACTTGGTATCAGTGATCGTACATTAATATGTCCTATCCTTAAATTATTTTCAAGATTCGTACTACCCATGATAAATTATTAAAATCAAGCAACAAATGGAAAATATACATAAAAAAACAATCAAAGCAAATGAGATAAAAGGCTACTTAAGTAGGTCATTTACTCATTCCGGATGAAAATAATATCAGAGCCATCATTCCTGCGAGCTAGAATCTTCTCCTCTCGATGCCACACATATTTGTAGCCAACACCCTTAAGTTGCCTTGAGTGTTTGAATAACTGGTACGTTTCCTTGGTCAGCTCCTCATCGACGAAAATTCTAGAATCCGCATCACCACATTCAGTGTTCCTAAGTGTTAGTTTCCCTTTTTTTGAACGAGTTGTAAGAATCTGCTTTTTATGTTCAGGCTTCAAGGTAACCCTAGCCTTTACGCCGTTTTTGGTTAGAACTTGTTTAAAATGAGCTACATCATTCCGAGAGATAGGTGTATCCAGAAAAGAAAATAAAGCCAAAGTTTTCTCCACTGCTTGCTCTTTATCATCATTTTCAGTAACAAGACCAGTAATAGACAAATTATTAACCAACCTTTTAGATTCCTCTTTGTTAAGAGAGTGAGTTTCAATCCATCAACATCTTTCCTAAGCATTTGGTTCTCCTTGGATAAATCTCCAACCATCTCTTCCAATACCTTGGACCTTTTCCTTTCCTCTTCCCACTGACTACTCAAGAAATCAAAAGATCTGATTAATTCTTAGTTCTCGTCTTGCAGCTGTCTAATAAGAGATTTGAGCTCCGTAATGACATCAGATTGATCGTTAATCAGCTGTGACATGAGGATAGACCTCCTACCAGCAACACCTGACCGTGTTGATAGAGGAGAGGCCAACGGTGTTCTGCAGGAGCCGCATTTCCATGCTCTTTTTTCAGCTGCCATAAGCCTTGCATCGACCTCGCTAACTTTCTCACACTCAAGATGAAAGAAGCGTTTACAAACGCCACAATGAAGCCTAAGAACTGATTTTGAGATATTCTTCTTGCAAGCATCACATTTCTTTATAGATCCACCAGCCATCTCAAAGACCTTCCAATACTTCAGGAGGAGCGTGGCAACGCAGCACAGAATTCAATGCCGTGCGAAGGGAGTCCAAAGTCCAAAACTCGGCGAGTCGACCAGTGTTTATCGTTGTTTTGTTGATAAAAAGTAAAAAATAACTTACGGATTTTATGCGTATTGGCAAAACAGTTTCTAAAAACGCGAATTTGATTTGCAAATATATTTAATTCGACTTAAAACAGTGTAAAACTTGATTATTTATAGCAGCACAAAATCACAGGATCTGTGAACGCTGTTGCCAATGTATATTGGCCCTCTGGGGCAGAAAATAGCAGTTTTCTAACATATACCTAGGCGATTTGCGCTTACTCCAGAACGGGTCGACTGTACCCCGATAGCATTAAATATTTGTTAAATATTATAAAAAAATATTTGTTAAATATTTGTAGAGACATATTTTTTAATATTCAATAAATATATTTCTTATATATTTATAAAATATTCATTATAGATATTTTTAGTAAGTATATATAATTCATATATTTTTGCGATATTTTTTCCAAATATTTCGAAAATACTTATATGAGGAAAGATTTTTAAATATCCATTTTATATTTTGATGAAATATCTAAAATTTTTCGTAAATATGTATGGATTTTCATCATCGACCTGATACATATTTTGAGTGTATATAGAAAATTTCATTGGTTATTTTAGCAAAACCTGTGGGAATGCTGATATGAAATTGGGTGTATAAAGAAAATTCATTCTAGATATAATGGTTTAATTTGCTAGAAAAATATTATTAAAAAACATTCTAAGCCTCTTCTGCATCTGGCAAGTCCACTCCTCTGAAAAAAAAAACTTACTAATTATGAAGTATACATAAGCTGGTTTTCAGTGTATTTATGGGAATATACAGGTAAAATGCAGTGAAACAATATTGGTGCAGAGCATGGTAAGTTACTCAGAGTAGCTCAACTGGGCCACTGAAAAGTAGCTCTATAATGCACCTAAAAGGCCCCCCACAAGGATAGTTATTTTTATGGTCTTGTGAATACCTTTATACTCCACTGGCACAATAATGTTTACCAGTCACATAAATTAACCTATGTGATTATCCCTTTTCCACAAAAAACACTCAAATAATGAACTACCTGGAGGTACACAGGAAGCACGCTATCATAGTGAAGATTTAAAGATAGAATGGATGCCTCAGGCCAGCTTGCTATTATCCCATTGTCGCACGAGGTCATAGGCACATGCGCCGTAGCCGAAAATATTTAATGCATATTTTCTAAATATTGGAGATCTAATACTTTCCATTGATTGAAAAGTAAATATTTAATGAATATTGTAAAAGAAATATTGTATTTAAAATATTTAAAAGATATTGAATAAATATTTAATAAAAATATTATATTACAAAAATATTTATTAAATATTTGTTTAAGAAAACAAATATTTAAGTAAGATAAAAATATTATTAAATATTAAATAAATATTTAATGAATATTTCGTGCTATCGGGGTAATACTTATCATGATTTTCGAATCTGAAGCTAACTTCAGGAACGTCTACATGAGCTTTACAAATGCCATTCGAGTTTGAATAAAGGCAACAGGTTTGTATTTAGTATAAGTCGTTTGATTACGTTTCTAAAGGATCCCTGAGGATTGAGTGCCGTTTTTGAGGAGTGATCTATCCTTAAATTTTAAATTAACAATACTTAACACATTTTTAATTTAACATTTGCAATTTACAGTAAGCTGTAACAGATCCGATAACATATAATATTTATTAAATACATTTAAAAAATGTTTGTTAAGCATTTGCAGCGACAGATTTTTTAACACTTAATGAATATATTTCTTAGATATCCATAAAATATGCATTATAGATATTTGTAGTAGGTATATATAATTCATATATTTTTGCGATATTTTTTCCAAATATGTAGAAAATATATGAGGAAATATTTGTAAATATCAATTTTATATTTTGATGAAATTCCAAATATTTTTCGTAAATATGTAATTAGGAAATATATTAAGAAACATATTTTTAAGCATTAATCTGCTACATATTTTCAAGCATTAATCTGATACATATTTTCAGTGTATATAGAAAATTCTATTCTTCATTGGTTATTTTAGCAAAATCTGAAGGAATGTTTTTATACAATTGGGTTTATAACGAAAATTCGTTATAGATACACTGGTTTAATTTGCTAAAAAAATATCATTGAAAAACATTTTAAGCGTGCTCTGCATCTTGCAAATCCACTTCTCTAAAAAAACAAACTTAGTAATTATGAAGTATTATTGAATACATAAGCTGTTTTCCAGTGGTCTTTTGTTTGAGAGGGATACTCTCTTGCACTACTCTAGAAAGTGCATTTATGGGAATATAAAATGCATTGAAACAATATTGGTGCTGAGCACTGCTGAGTTACTCCGAGTAGCTTAACTGGGTCACTGGAAAGCAGCTCCATAATTCACCTGAAAGGAAACATTTTCTTCCTATGAGAGTTCGAGATTTAGTTAATTATTAAAAAAAAATTGGTATGTTATTTTAGATATCTTGATGAAAGATGTCCATGGACACAACTTGACCTTTTTGCAGTGAATGAAAACACGAAATTAGAGGCATACCGGCCACTATAAGGAGCCAGCGCATAGGCCACTCAGACGGGCCCTTGTGCACCTCCACATTTCTTAGACCTCAAGCCTCGCCATTCTAGCGAAGTCGAGTATGGCCTTGAGCCCAAGCTCCTTAATGTCCTGGGTGTCCAAAGTGATGAACCTCAGTATAGTCTGCCTGTAGTAGCTAAGAGCCTCGCAGCGACACAGAACGTGAGCCGAGGTCTCTTCTTCTACCCCGCAGCGCTCAGACAAGGGATCCTCAGCCACCCCCATCACGTGTAGGCGGCGTCTTAATGTGTTATGGTCAGACAACAGCCCCACTAGCAACCTTAGGTTGGCTCTATCCAAAGATAAGCAGAAACGTCCACTCCAGCCGGTGTCCCACTCCTTCCTCGTTGGATACTCCACATTAAACATGCGGTTGAAGCGATACTTAGGGGCAACTACATCGCCCCTGCTCAGCAGGACAGGATCCTCCATTTGCAGTTCGACCAGGATGGCAGTATGACCCTTGACAGGATTCAAGAAGGCCCAGCTGCCCTGACTCCACAGTCGATGTGCGACTAGTCTCGCCTCTCCGCGGATCACTAGATCCCACAGCGGGAGATCCAGCAGAGCTTCCATTGCACTCAATGGCGTCTTTCCAGCGTTGACCGAAAGATGCCTTTTTGCAGTAGTAAGGGGGCAAAGTTAATTTAATTTCGAATGTTAAAATTTTGGAATGTTGCTGTTGAACTTAAAAATTTTAAAATAGTTATAGCTGATTTGCCCCCTACTTCGACAAAAATAATAATAGTAATTGAGATATTTAAAACAGCATTTTTGATGTATCTCGATCAAGTTGTGATTATATGACTTTTCATTGGGATGTTATGAATATAATTTTCGTATCCATTCTAAGATAAATCCACCAATCCCAAATCGCAATTAACTGTTACACTTCAAGGCTAGTTATTTATGGTTTTGTAAATACCTTTATGTTCAACTAGTCAGATAAATTAAGCTATGTAATTATCGCAAAACTTACCCTTTTCCATAAAAAAAAAACACTCAAATAATGTACCACTTGGAGGTACACGGAAAGCACGCGACACGCGATCGTAGTGAAACTCATAGGCAAAATGGATGCCGGCACACGGGTCGGCTCAGGTCCGCTTGCCATTATGCCATTGGTCGCTGGGGGTTAGACGCACATGCGCCGTAGCCGCAAATATTTAATGAATATTTAATAAAAATATTATATTCCAAATATTTATTAAATATTTGTTTAAGATAACAAATATTTAAGTAAGATAAAAATATTGTTAAATATTTGATAAATATTTCGTGCTATCGGGGAGGTGTCATCAAGGCTGTCAATCAGTGGCGAATTTAGGAATCTTGGGATCGACGATTGAAATTTGAGCCTACATGCTTAAGCAGCGCTTCTTAGAGCGAATTGGATACGTTTAGGGGAGGGGGGTCACGTCTCTACAATTGAGGTCTAGCAAGGTAATTTTAGATTTTTTGCGATTGGAGTCTAGAATTTTACTTGGATATTGTCATTTCGAGCATTTTCATAGATTGACACACTTCTGATGTATGCTAATAAAAACTGCTACCTACTTTCGAAAATCTTCGCTTGTATTTTCCAAACGGGGCGGTTGTTACAGAATCCCCATACGATAAAATATTCTGAAAATGGTCCAATGAATACTTTGCCATCTAAAATACAAAAGCCATAGTCGGCGATGTATTTGGCCCCAATATTTGCCCCTCAAAGCCGGACATTAGACAGTTGTTACTACAACAAAAATAACGAATCGTTAAGACTTCCGTTACGTTATTTTTGACAGCGATAACAAATAAGAATGGTTGGCAACACAAGAGTTTTATGAGTACTGAGATGAACCATTGCAATTTGACAGTAGGTACTGACTATCATGACAGGATAGGCTGAGGCAGCTGCGGTGGCCGCAGTAGTAGACTCTTGGGTCTCCTGATCAGTCGCCGTGCGCTGTGCGGGTTCGAATCCCGTCCCAGGAGAAATTTTTCTCTTGGCTATGGATGTTGTGATTGTCCGTAGGTGGTAGACGGTCTCTGACTGTCGAACGCGGAGGTACCACCCGGCGAATTTCGTAGGCGGAGCCAGAATGTGTGCATGTTGCATGCACACGTGTTCCCTCGCCAGAGTCCGTATGGCGTTCCCTCTTTCGCCTGTAGCCCCACGGTACCCAATGAGTGTTTAGGCCTTAGGACTTCAAAGGTCGCTTATTTTGACGTGAAGCTAACCCTAAATTATTTTAAGCTTGATACATTTTTCCATGGAATGGTTTCGCCAAAATTTGTGTTACGATTAACGTGAGCATCTATTTTTGAGTCAAAGCGGGACAG